CGAAAAAAAGAATAAAAAAAATAAAAAAAAAACAATAGGAAAGGGGGTAGGGGGGGTGGGGGGGGAGGAGACGACGACACTTTTGGATAGATTTTTACCCAGAATGCAAATGGAAAAAACCGTGAGTGAAACGGTGACTGACGAGTATATATTCCATTGAGGGAAAGTAAGTTTCACAATTGTTCAAAAGCCCCCTGGTGGTTGAAGAAAAATCCACATATAAACCGGAAAATACAATATATGAAAAAAAAACACTGAATGCTCTCTGGTGTGAGCAGGCGGGCCGGATCCGGCATTGTTCAGGGGGCCGGACCAAATGACGTGGCGGGCCGGATCCGGCCCGCGGGCCGGAGGTTGGGGACCCCTGATTTAAACCATCCAAAATAAGACTTTAAAGGCATCTACAGTGCAAATATTTCGATACACGTGTTGCACTATTAAAGGTTATTTTTTGCAGTAACTTCGTCACTTAGTGAAACTCGTAATTACACATACAGATGCTTACAACACATTAGAGTGAATATTAAATCAAACCACATTTTGATGATCATCAGTGTAAAGTCAGTTTGTTGTTTAGGTCATATTTGGAATGAATACAAAAGCAGTTGATAGTAATTAGTTACATTTATTCAGTTAAATTTACTTGAGTAACGTTTTGGAAAAAAGTATGCTTTTAGGAATATGCTGTGCTTTGTACTTTCACTTGAGAAATTTTTATTATGAAGTATCGCAACTCTTACTTGAGTAATACTTCTGGATACTCTACCCACTGCTTGTTCTTCACTCGTTCTTCACTGAATGAAGAAAAAGTTTGACTTAAACAAAAATTCACCGGATACAGACACACACCCGCAGTTTTTCTTAAAGTTTCATAAGTATTACATTGGAAGAAATTTCTTTGCCTGATTTTGTTACTTTGTAATATTTTATAATTATGTTAATTTTGATCCTTACCAATACCAAAATTCCCACGGTCAGTAGTTGAGAACTCTTTCAGTTGATTAATTTTTTGGACTGCTACTTTTTATTTTTTGCTTGAGAAAATATATGTTGAAATAGTGCTACTCTGAGTACAATTTTTGGGTAGTTACACATTTTATTTGATCTCCCCCTATAGGACGTGAGGGAGAACAGCAGCCAGAAAAGCCCAGTTCCTGATGACTACTAGGAAATCTGGTTCAACATGGCTGAAAATAAAAGAAAGTAGGGTTTGTGTTTTCCAAAAATATAACCAACATTTACAAAAAGAAAAAAGAAAGAGTCAAAGACAAGTTTATTTAACACCATACTTACAGAATTCACATTTTTTGTACAGTTAACATATGTTATAAAAACAAAGCTACAGTTTATGCCTCGTGTTAGCCTTGTGCGACGTAGTAATAGAATAATGTCTATAGCAATTTTATATTTGTTTTTCTACAACAAAGGATAACAAACTAACTCTAAATAGAATGCTTACAGAATGACTTCTGTAAGCATTTATTAAATGAGATAAAAGAAGATATAATATAAAAGAACATTATGATGTTTACTTTATCAATCCTATATGTTGTCAATATTTCTTTAAATTTAAATAGTTTAAAAATGGCACATTGCTTTTAAAAAATGACTTTCATCCCTACTTTTTCTGTCAGGGAACAAACACACCAAGCCCAGCGCTGAACTTGCTCTGCGTCTCCTGAGTCCTTAATTTCACTTTTAGGCATGATTGCAGGTAAAGATGGTGACTTTTCTTCCTTCTTCTTCTTCTTCTTCTTCTTCTTCTTAATGCTTCTGTATTTGTGAGGAGGATCAAAGAACTGTTTGATATTCTCAGTTATTTTTCGTTAAGACAGGGTGCTTACGAAGCACAGATGGGGCTTCATAAGGTAGAATCTCTCTCCGACACAGGAAAGTAGCCGTTTGTCGTTGCGGTCGAGTCGTCCTCGGGAACAAAGATAGCCAGCAACCTCTCCTGCTCCCTTTTGGTTTTAGGTAAATCATCGGATGGCGTGACGAGCGCCTGGATGCGCTGCAGATAAATCGATAAATAAATCAAATGATACATGAAATAACTCAGAAACAACTAAGAATCTTTGGCTATCTTACAAAGATGTATGAGGAAGTTCTTTCTTAGTTCTGCAAAGAAAGAAGCAGTTTTTCCACATAGCCCATATGGGCAAATGCCCAGGGCGACATTTGAAGGGGGGAACAAAAGTACAATAAAAAAAAAAAAAAAAGCAGTCCCCACCCATGGTGACATTCGGGCAAAAAATTTAGGTGTGGATGATAGTACCACAAACACCGCTCTTGAAAAATATTTTTGAAATAAGCTTCTTTTTTGCACGCCGCTTACATAAAGAAGTATGATTTATGTGACCCACAGAGACTTAAATTAATCATATTTTTGAATTTACTGATATTTATTGACGCTCTGGTGGAAAAAAAACAACAAAAAAAATGGTCATCAAAATTTGCATCATGATAAGAAATTTTTTTGCGATAAATGATAAAACAATAGGATAAATGCCGACCCCAAGAAGAGACGTCAGTAAACGACTCAGGAGGGCTGAAGACAAATGCACGTCACTTTTTTCAGATTTTTATTTGTAAAAAGACCGCAATTACTTTTGCGAGACACTCTCGAGTTAGTTTAATCTTAAAATAAACGCATCAAGAGGACCTGCATACCTCTTTGAGTGTTCCCTGTGTAGTGCTGAGCTTGTAAACCATCCATAAAGGAATGCAGACCATGGAAGAGAGGGCGAGCAGCCAGCCTATGAAGTATCCCCACCACGGATAGACGTACACGTTGTTGTACTTCAGAGGAGTGTATTTTATGAGGGAGAAGGCAAATGTCCCCTGCAAAGGCAAAAAGATGAGAATTTCAAATGTTACACTGGAAAAATCGAAAAATCCCAGCAACTTAAAAAGCGATGCTCCTCACAATGCACGTGGCTGGGGTGAAAAACAGCCAGCAGTACTTGATGTAAGGTCCTGGGCGGTAGCCAATCATGTCCTCAATGTTGTCGTAGAAACGGTCTGCACCTGCAGAGATGCGACGAGGACGCACGTCGCAACACGGGGTGTTAAATCCCGAAGCATCGGGTCTCCAGAGACTAGTTTGTTGGTGGCTCACCATAAACCCAGGCGATACAGACGGTTTCAAAGATGGACATGAGGAGAAGACACATCCCGCTGGCTGCGTAGTAATCGAACAGCTGGAAAACATACATTCCTCCCTGGAAATAAATAAAGCCGCGGGTCATTTTGTGACAGATTTATCTTTCAGTTTTCTTTCGGAAGGCACACAAAGAAAAAAACGTTGAAGAACTAAAATTTCATTTTGAATTCATTTCTGTGAGAAGGAACCTTATTTGCAATAACCCTTTAACAATGTTTTAACCACCGTGGCACTGAGAAGTAGAGCGTGCAATAAACTCAGCTCATGTGTCTGCTAATTGCTACTGGCTAGTCTGAAGGAGCAGGTGAGTCATGGGAGATTCAAGGACTCCTCAAACCCGCATGAAAGAATCAAAGCAACACCCCAGGGTATGTTTATAACATGATGTGAAGCTCAAAAAAGTACATTTTATACAATACTTACCCTTTAAGATATATCAGTTTAAGACACACAGTGTACAGAATATAGCCATATTTACAGACATTGTTCACGTGAATGCATTTGTTGGCCCCGCCCCTACCTCCATCAGCATGATGAGGCCCATCAGGAAGGAGAAGAGGACCACCCCTAACAGGAACAGTTCCCTGCGATTCTTGCGCCGGAACACAGTGGGGTACATGTCAACGATGGCCGTTACCAGGCTTTCCACGCACACAAACTGTTAAATAACCAAACAATTGGTAAGTACGGCAGAAAACGAGGAGCCCCTTTTTGTCACGTCGGGAGAGAAAGGTGCCAAGTCGCCGACCTGGCTGTCCAGACCCAGGAAAACTATCATGACGAAGAAGAGCGCGGCCCACAGGGGAGAGAAGGGCATCATGGAGACTGCACGGGGGTAGGCGATGAAGGCCAGGCCGGGTCCTTTGCAAAAGACAGAAAAACATACTCATACAGCTTCAACTTTTTGTTGAGATTTCATGCAAAACAAAAGAGTGCACAATTGTAGAGTAGAAAAACAATGAAGCGGTCCTTGGTATTCTACACAGACGGAAAAAATAGGTGAATTCGGAAGACAATGGCTTGAGTTGGATTTTTCTTTTTCATACAAATGGACACCTATTATTTCAGACTTTTGTTTGTAAAGAACTTTGAAAACGTGGAGAATTTTATGTTTAATTTGTGGTTGCAAACGGGATAAGAGCGTGGAGGTTCACTGTGGCTGAAGCACAGAACGAAATGCTCGGGAAATCCTCGTCGATGCTCCGGTGCCACGTTTCTAGTCTCACCGGACTCGGCCACTTCGGAGATGGGAACATTTTGCTCGTAGGACATGAAGCCCAGGATGGAGAAGATCGCAAAGCCTGCCACGAAGCTGGTGCTGCTGTTCAGGAAGCACAGAGCCAGGCAATCTCTACCAAAGCACACACACACGTTTGCATCAGCAGAATATAAAAAGAATGAAAATATTTGCTGTAAAATTTATGAAAGAAATTTCAGTATAAGTTGAGACACCTGTAGCAGTTGTTGTTATATTTGTTGTAGCTCCCCAGAGCAGTCAAGGAGCCAAGGCAGATGGCGTAGGAGAAGAAGATCTGGGTCCCGGCATCCATCCACACCTGTCATCAATTTAATTTTAATGTGCAACGGAAATTCGGTGGAGCGTGAACTTATCCTTAAACATAAATTATTATCAACGGCTTAGACCGAACCTAGACTTTTTGGTAGTGCAAACCCCCCCCCAAAAAACAACAAAAAAATAACCCTCTTGGTTAAATTCAAAAAAACATTATTTTGCACTAAATTAATAAAAACATAATATAATATTTGTTCTAACTATAATAGATTTTTACATTAGAAAATAGATAGATGACCAATAAAGAGGAAACTCGTCATCAGATTTGTTTTTATTTATTTATTTTTCTTAACATTTGACACTGTAAGTAAAATATCTGAAATGTGTGAGTTATGCTACTAACAAAGCGGATCAAAAATGACTCCCGAAGAAATAAAAACAAGATTTAGCAGATTGAATTCTCCAACCGACAGTGGGAAAATGAGATGCTAATGGCCCAAAGGCTTCAGAGCATGTTAGTGAAACAAAGCTGGAACTGTAGGTGTCATTGGAACCATTTTAACAATATAATTATTACTTTTCAATTTGATTAGCGGGTTTTTCCAGATGGATTAATGACATGTTTCTTTCTTGAAACCGTACCTGCGGATCAGCCAGTCGACCCAGATCGGGGTACAGATAGAACTGAATGCCGATCCCGGCACCGGGCAGAGTGAGTCCTCTGACTAACAGCACAACCAGCATCAGATAAGGAAAGGTCGCGGTGAAGTAGACCACCTGTATCGGCGAGGGACACGAGGGTAAGAGACACGAAAAACAAAAATCCTTCCAAAGCAAACAGCAGATGTTTCCCTTGACGTGCCTCCCAGCCTCCCCCCCCGAACCCAAAAGGCACATCTGCGTCTTGTATTCGAGTTCAGATTGGGACGGTGCTTCTTTTTCTGTTCCCGACCCACCTTTCCTGTGGATTTCACCCCCTTCCAGATGCAGAAGTAGCACATGACCCAGGCGACGAGCAGACACAGCGCCATGTCCCAGTTCAGAGAGCCCATTTGGTCGATGCCGGAGGAGATCCTCAGCGCTCTCCTCCTGCGCGATCGGGCACATTCGGATGAGAAACGGTCGACGGGAGAGAACCGTCCGGAACGGACCCGGAAGCGGCAGCTCGACAACTCACTCCCAGAACTCCATGACGGGAGAAGTCGTGTTCAGGTTGACCTCTTCGGCGACGGAGGCGTTTCTCCTCTGGAACTCGACGCAGTTTTCTGCGATGGGGGAAAGGTCTAGGAATGATGGCAACTTGATGCTACAAAACGGGGCATTTGAGACGGTTTTCCCCCATGTTCCTCACCTGTGTTCCACGTGTTGTTGCAGGACGACCAAGGCAGGTCCCAAGAGAAGGAGTAGTAGAGGTAGAAAATCCCCCAGGCCAGGACAATAATGTAGTAGAAGTTCAGCAGAGTCACAATCACCTGAGTGCCGTAGCCAAGACCTGCGGAAAGGACGATTACGCAAATGGATCAGCAGGCATGTCTGGAGTGGTCCAGTCAAAGTCCAGGGCTGAGAATCGAAAGAATTGAATAGTCTACAGCGTATCTCAGAAAAATGATTGTTCACAGATGGGCAAAGAATCCAGAGGTGCAGAGCTTGTAGAGACAGATTTGTATTGCATAAAGTCCCAATAAAATAAACTTTATTTTGTGACTGTAATCTGAGAAAACTTTAGGGGAAGTTTCCCGCTCTTTCCTCACCTTCGAACAGGGGACTGATTTTTCTCCAGCAGGTGATTCCTCCCTGGCTGGTGTACTGACCCAGCGCGACCTCCAGGAAGAAGACGGGAACGCCGCAGGTGAACAGGAAGATCAGGTATGGGATTAGAAACGCACCTGAGCGTAGTAGACGGGAGGAGCTGCATTATTTATTGCACACGTTGCCTTAATGTTGCAGTGTTGTCTTTGTACTGAAACTTTATGTATAAAAAGAAAAATAAGAAAGAAAAGTTGGAGGTTACATTTTTTTTTTCCCCTCTACAAAACTTTGGGTGTGCTCAGATTTCCGGCTCTCTGCGGGTACAGCTGCTGTGAAAGCGAGGGGCAACAACAGCTGTCTGACCCCGCTTTATCCTGAACTCTGACCCTTCCTGCCGCCCCGTGGAGGGACAGAGACGGGAGGGCAGCAGGGGGGGAACGGAGGACACGGTGTCCAGTTCGGCAGCTACACCAACAACCTCAACCAACAATTTCTTTAACTAAAGAGGAAAATTTGCCCTTCCTTCAACTGCTTTCAGTTTCTATGCCAGCCGTTTGACCTTTAACCTTTTCGCAAAGCCTGCGTCGTTGCGGCAGGCATCTCTACTCACCTCCTCCGTTCTTGTAGCAGAGGTAGGGGAAGCGCCACATGTTGCCCAGGCCGATGATGGAGCCGGCCACCGACAGGACGAACTCCAGCTTGTTGCCCCACTGACCCCGCTCCTCCATCTTCTCCTCCGAGGCTGGAGGCACATCCTTGACGCGGTTGCTGCCGTTCGGATGGCCTGCCTTTGCTCCTGTGTGAGACAAACCGGCGGAGAAAAGCTGATTCAAGTTGGGGAAATAGGAAAGAAAAAAAAAAGATCAAATAATAATAAAAGAACGTCTACCTTTCATCGCGGCGTCACCTCTGAAGCGTCTCTGGGGGTTGAGGGCGTTTGAAGATCTTTATCCAGAAAAGCTCAAAGTTTTAGTATTTAACGTGGCTGGCGAAAGGAGTGGGGGGGGCGGGGCTTTGTAACGCTAAACCCGAGGCTGGCCTTGCGCTCTCTTTCCCCTCCATCTGCCCCCCTCGGGTGCAAAGTACATCGCCGACCGCGTCTCGACAGTTAAAATAAGGTGCAACATAAGAGTCAGACAGGGCGACCTTTGACCCGCCCGGTCTCCCGTGTCCGTTTCAGCTGCAGCGCACCTCTGCTGAATAAATGTGTTACGAAAGAAATTGAAAATGACTCGGATGAGGGACGTTTGCAGAGCATAACCACATTTTAACCATGTTTTAGAGGGGAACTGGTGAAGGGTTGTGACATAAGCAAAAGTTAGGCATCCTTATTGTCTATTACATTGATGTGCTTCATGACTCCTCCTGTCAGTACATTGACCGAGCTGAAACCACTCACACGGAGGAGGACAGAAGCAGCTGAGGTCAGTTTCCACCGGATTGGACTCGGACGAGTCGGCGCCGGCACAATCATCAGGCTCCTCCCCCCATCATCCCGTGCTCCCGCTGTTGGATGAAACTGAGATTTACTGTTTTAAAAGACCTGCAGTCTCACAGCTGACGCCGTCTTCAAGGTAACTTCCAGGGATTTTATGAGACAAAACGAGTCTTAAAGCTTCGTTTAAATCTAGGGACTCATTTTGGATCTTCAACTAATAGCGAAATAGTTCAAGCTTGGTTTAATTCCCAGTTCTCAATTGAATCTGAACTTTGGAGATTTCTAACACATCAATATGATTTTATCTAAACAAATTCACTGTAGCTCTGGCTTTAAGTTTAAGTTTGTCGTCCTGCTGGAACAGGGAAAAAAGAAAAAAGATCCATCTTCTTTTTGCCTGTGAAATCATTTGCTTGCGATTATGTCAAAGGTCACAGCGACCTTTGACATAGTTTGGTGTCTTTACAATTATTTTTGGCGCAAACAAACCACAAACCATTGACACCGTCATATTTCACACTGGTGTTACATGGAGGTGCAGAAAGAGGAAAGCAAATATGTACGATTTGACTAGGAATCGTTTATTAAAAGGTGAGAAAACAAAAAGCCACAAACCATTTTTTTAACTGTTTAAAAGTTATATACATTATAAATAATTCCCACTACATTTTAACAGTTTTTTTTGTTTCCTCCTAGTCTTGAGTCCTACACACTGAGATGTTTTTTTTTTGTTTGTTTGTTTTTTTTTTAATCAGAGAGTCAGAGGGCAACAGTGAGTGGGACAGACTGTCCCAGGATTGGGAACATGTTCATCTCTAAACCAAGCAGCTTGAGGAAATGTGTGAGTGCTTCACTGTAAATTAATAAAACCAGAGAACTATTTAACCCTCCTGCAGTCTTAGCGCCATGTTCCGGAAGAGCTCAGCGGATATCACTGCTCCGTCAGTTCCCAAAACCACGAGAGAAAAAAAAAAAAAAATCTTAAAGGCGCGCATGGGGTCCCCCCGACCTCTCTTAGGGCTGCGGGAGGGTTGAGGGAGTGAGTGTCGTTGTAGACCGACACCTTTTACAGGAGGAGCATCACCACATCTCAGACGTCAGAGAGAACTTTTTTTTCCTCATTAAACCACGGAGAATTCATCACTTCTTGTGCTTCGTAATCCATACGGTACCAGAAATCCTCCGAACAAGCCTCCACGCAGAGTTCTTCTAGTCGCGCTCGCCCCGGTTTTAGCGCTAGCTGTCCTGCCGAGGCTCCTGCTGTTGGTGTGAAGCCGCCGGGTTTAAGAGGGACGCGGCGGACCACGGAGCCACGGCCGCTGCGCCGCACGGTGACAACACCACGATACTCTCCCCCGCCACGTCCTCCAGGGTCGCTCCGTCGACCGCGCCCGCCGCCTTCTGAGAGCAGTCCACGCAAATGTAGTCCTCATTTTCCGCCATTTCGCACGACACGCCCACGCAGACCTGGTGGAACCACTCGTCGCAGCCGCCGTCGCACTGCACCCAGTCCACCTGGAGACGAACGGAAACGGAATTAGGATGTTTGGATAAAGATTTTAAAAGAGGAGGAAATAAAAGAAACATTTTTTTTTCTCCCAGCATGTGGGGGTTGAAATGTAAAAAAATGTGAAAAAAAAAAAAAAAAAAAAAAAGATTGTAGGCCAAGGGATTCCTCAGCTCTGATTGGCTGCTGGGTTGGACACACAGAGCAGAAACTGGCCACTGGCTAACTTGGAGGAAACTATTAAATGGACCGCATCAATGGGACACGTTAATATGTAATGTGTGACTCTCTTTAAGATGTTCCAGTGATGCCGTTATCTCAGTTTCATTTGGTGAAATTGGTCAGCTGAATTATCTAGTTCACAGTTCTATGACTGTGATGACTGTGATATGTTGGGAAGTGAATACAAACACTCGTGCACAGTGTAAGTAACAAAGACGGAGAGTTTACTTTGAGATTTAAAGTTGACGTTATCCACTGTATGCCAGATTCAATGGATTTATTGAGCTAGATTTTTGACTAATGTATCTGTAGCCAACACCCCCAAAGAAACCTAAAATAAAGGATGTTGCTTTACTTTGTTTTGAAAGGAAGAAAACGAGAAAGAAACCAAGAAAAAAAGAAAGAGAAAAAACAAACAAGAAAAAAAAACAAGAAAGAGGAAGAAAACAAGACAGAAAAGAAAGAAAGAAAAAGACAGAAAAGGGAGGAACAGGAAGTAGTAAGAACGCTAGGAAATACAGAACTTAAATTACCTACTTTTCATAAATTCTAGCATAATAATATTTATTGAAGGAGTTTGTATTCATAAGCAGAGCTTCAGTTTTATTGAGCCTGGCCTCTCTGCCCTCTGAGCTCTCAGTCTATCAATCATCTATGTTTCCCTGTTTCTCAGCAGGACGGGTCTGGATCCACAGCGAGGGAAGTGACCTTGTCCTCACCTTGTCTTTACACGGCCTCTGGCAGTTCTTCGCCGCGCACACCGCGTTCTCGTCGTTGGAGTCCTCGGCGCCCGACCAGTCGTATTTGGACGGGATGTCCAGGATCTTCTTCTCCTTCCTCTTCTCCAGGACGTCCTTGATGGCCTCAGCTTTCGCGGCTGCCTTCTCCTTCCTCTTCCTCTCCTTCTCCTCCTTGGCCAACCGCTTGGCCAGCTGTTTCATCTCCCGGTTCTTTTCCAGGTTGAGCTTCAGCTTCTTCTTCTTGGGCTTGCCGCCGAGGCCGAGCTCCAGGCCGACCCGTTTCAGCTCCTTGGACTTCTGCAGCCTCATGTCTCCCATGGCGGCGGCGGTCGCGCCACCGGCGGTGGCCATCAGCATGTGGTGCTGCTCGGCTCTCTCCAGCTTCCGCTTTCGCTTCTTCTCAGAATCTTTAAATTTGATTTTGAGCGGTTTCTCCAGCAGCGAGTTGTCAGGCTGCAAAAAGGGATGGAAGGGACAAAAAAGTGAAATATTTTCCCAAAGTTTGACTTGCAGAAGTAGCCACGCCCCTAAAACTGCTCCACATTTGGTCGCGTTCCAACTACATACTGGAATGTAGTTTATTTGGGTTCTATGTTCTGACCAGTCAACAGAACACAGATCATAATTATTACAAAGAAAAGTATCATAGATATTTCAAAATGTTTTACTAATAGAAATCAGGGCAGCAAACTAATGATTACTTTAATAGTCAACTATTCTGACAATTAATCGATTAATATAATTAGCATGTTCTGCAGACTTTCCATTTAGTCACTTAAGTCTTTATACACAAAATTAGACATAAACTGAAAGATGCAAATAAGCAATTACTTTTTTGAATCAGATATAAAAATATATATTTTTTCCCTATAGCGTTCCTTTAGTGTAAGGTTGAGCATTTATAGCAAAGGCTGTATCCCTGGCAAAAAAAACAACAACTATATTGACAGATAATACAAACTGTATATATTTTTTGTACAGTTTAGGCTTACTTACTGCCCAGACTGTGTTGCTCTTTCAACAAATGACCACTTTTAGAGTCTGCATACTTCAGTCCACAATTAATCAATTACTAAATTATTACTAAATTATTTCAGTCGCTGATTAATCACAATTCATTCGATTAATCATTTCAGCCCGAATAAAAATCTGATAATGTATCGGGCATTTATAGTTCAAGATGTACAGAAATACACATAAAGCATTTCAGTTTGTTCACACACAACCCCAGCACTCTCCTCCGCTGTTTTTCCATTTTCAAGATGTTGCAACTAGTTGCACAATCGATGCGCTCCCTTACCTCCATGACCTGCAAGAATCTCTCCTCAGAGGGAGGGTGCGTGGCTTGCAGAATCCTCCAGATGTGCTGGGTCTCGTCCAGGGACACCTCCAGCAGGTCTCCCAGCATCATCAGGTCCTCCAGCTGCGCCTTGGCCTGCAGGGACAGTTCCAGCACTGGGGGCTCCAGGCTCCGGGGGACCAGCGGGGTCTTCCGCGGTTGCTTTCTGGGTGTGCCGAGATCTGAAGTGCAAAATATTTGGAAGTAAGACAAGCTACACATCTGAATGTAAGGAAAATGTGTGTAGAAAAAAAAATATATATATAAAAAATAAAAAAGCGTGCCGGTCACTCACTCTGCACACAGGACTTGGAAGCTGACGAGTAGGCGTGTTCGGCGCAGAATGAAGGTGTGGCGGCGGGCCACATGTGACTGACCACCTCCTCAGACTTCACGGGGATCTCTTCATCACAAAACAGGTAGGGCTTCACCTCACCTGGGTCCTGGGTAGCACACGTCACAATTACAGAGGAAATTTGAGATCATTTGAAGGCATCGCTTTCCACACACAAATTACACTCTCAACTTTCCAGAGTTCTCAGTTCCTTCCTGTTCATTTTATAACATAAAACAAATCAAGTTCATACTTAAAGTTGTGGCAAACTGTAAAACAAAAATAGAGCCGGCCGGTAACAACAAAGAAATAAAAGAAAGAGAGGAGGAAATAAAGGAAAAAAGAATTAAAGGCAGAAATAAAAGGAAAAAAGAAACAAAGGAATAAATACAGAAATTCATTTCCTTCTTTTGAAAGAAACAGAAACGAAGAAACAAAAATAAAAGAACAATAACAAAAGAGAAAGGAGGTATGGCATTACCTGACTTTAGAAAATATTATCATGCTGCCCAAATAACTCCCATAATAAATATAAGTGCCAAAAATTATGAAGCGAAATGGAAAAATATTGAACAAAAAGTCAATGGAAGAGAATTGCGGAGTATCATTGGAGATATAGAGACCACTAAGAATACAATTAAGAATGTTAATGCTATTACTAGTTTTTCACTGGGTAAATGGTTATATATAATCCAAAAATGCAAATTAGAGAAACAATTATGTCTGATCCAGTGGCCAACCTACAATAAATATTTTATTCAAGACCCACAATTTAAACAATGGCTAGAAAGAGGCTTAACAGCATTATGCGTAGTCCTTAAAGATGGGCACTTTAAAAGTTTCCATGAACTACAGCAAGAGTTTGCTCTAAGAACTCAAGATCATTTTAGATACCTACAATTAAGGGACTTTTATATCAAAGAAATAAAACAAAAAATGAAAATGGCATTGTCAAAATGCTGATCGAGACCTATAAGGGTAAAAAACACAGAATAGTGTCTTTACTCTATAAATATCTGTTAGAAAATAGAGACACTAACACATTGAATATTAAAACAAAATGGGAAAGGGAATTGGATATTCTGCTAACCGAAGATGGCTGGCTGAATATTTGGAAGACCCAAATTAAAACATCCTCTTCCAGAATTTGGAGAGAACATTGTTGGAAGAATATAATTAGATTCTTTATAACAACCCAAATTACTAGTAAATTCAAATCCAGAGCTCAGCCATGTTGGAGAGATTGTGGAGCACTTAATGTTAATCAGCATATTTTCTGGCTTTGCCCCAGAATTACACAGTTCTGGAACGAAATGCACAATAAGACTGAAACAGTATTGGGTTACTAATACCCAAGTCCGGTCTGGCTCTATGCCTTGGTCTTTTGGACAATATTGTACTTAATAATGACTGTTATTTGTTAAAAATTCTGTTGGTGGCAGCCAAAAAGGTGATAACCAGAAAGTGGTGCAAATCTGAACCTCCTACCACAAAAGAGTGGATACAGACTGTGAACTCATTTTCTGAGATGGAGATTCTAACACATAGACTGAGGACACAGGAACAGCAATGCCTGGGCAAATGGGAAAAATGGACAAACTTCACATCAACGATGGAGGACTAATTTTGGATATGAATGATCCCCTTGTGTTTTGTGTTACTAAAACAGGAGTCTCCCCCTGGTGTGTGATTTTTGTTTCGATTGTTCTGTATTTTTTGTCTTTTATAATTTCTATGTATTGTTTGACCTTTCTTCTTGAGTGTACTCTAATAACATCAACAAAAATAAAAATAAAGTTATAAAAATAAAATAAAAGAACAAAGAAAAAGATACAAAGGAACAAATAAAGAAAGGAAGAATTGAAACAAGGAAGAAGAGAAAAAACACAAGGAGGTAAAGGACACATCTAGATAACATTTCATAAGGTCTGGAAATACAAATATCTTTCAATTATCTTCTTTCCTTTTTCCATAAAAAAATACTGAGATCATATCCCAGACCTTTGTCAGGCTGTGTAGGAAATCTTTCACCCCTCACTTACCTTCATGTCGTAACCGTAAGTCTCCCTGATGTCCTCGTCTGAATCTGTTTCCTCGTCATCGTAGTCCACAGACGGCCGAGGTGAAGCCGCTCTGCTGAAACCAGACTGCTGGAAGGTCTGGATGTGACCCTGCAGAGCGGAGAAGGTTACAGCGTCTGGCTTCAGTTCAACGCTGGAAAACTCAGCTGGGTTTCAAATCAATCAATCGCATGATAAATTAAAACGAGGTAAATAACTTCCATTTTGACGATTATTTTCTTTGAATGGTGTTGATGTTTAGATATTTCATCGATTATCATCTATGGTTTTGGTTGTGGTTTTTATTTTCATTTTATTTATTGTTTTTGGTTAAAAAGCTTAACCAAACAGCGGCGACTTCTTCACAGACGTTAAAGGGTTTTAAAGGCTCACCTGCAGGTCAGGGTTGGCGGCCGCTTTCAGCAGCTCTGCGTTGATGATCTTCTCGGTTTTCTCCCTCGCCGCCTGCTCCACCATCCGCTGGCTGAGCACGGAAAGCTTCGCCAGAGCTGAGGACAGCTCCTCGGTAGCCAGAGCTTGACGTGCTCGATCCTGAAAAGGCAAGAGGGCAAGAAGAAGCAAGTTAATCTGAAATCAAACACGAAAAAAAAAAAACAAAGAGAAGAAAAAAAAAAAACGTAGAAGGAGAAGAGTTTGGCGTGAATACCTGCCAGCTCATAGCCCGCTCCGTTAAACACTGCAGCGCCTCTCCTTCCGGCAGACGCACCGGCAGCTTCTGCAGAGAGACCAACAATGACAGGATGGTCTCCAGTCTCGGCCTCCTCGACCTCTGGCACAGCGGACACAGGAACTTAGAGTCTTTGCTGTTGCTCTGCCAGCTGACGCCCACTTTCTTCTGCGTCCCCATCTTGGGCAGAGGGACGCAGGCGCCGTGGAACCAGTCCTTACACAGCTCACACTGCAGCATGAAGCCGCTGGCCGTCTTCCGGCACAGGCAGAACTTGACTTCCTCAATGTGGTCCGCCATGGCCATCTTGGCCAAGTTGGCGGCGCGGAGCGAGTGGATGGCCTCCACTTCCTTCTGCTCCTTGGCTTTGAAGGCGGCCACCACGGCCGAGGGGTCTCGGACCTCCTCCAGGCTTTCCTCCAGGTCGCTGAGGGCATCGGGGTCGTAGCCGCTCCGCTCCTTCTCCATGAGCTCCTTGACGCGCTTCCGCTTGCTCTTGCTGTTGCTGTACACGCCGATGTCCACACGAGGACTGAGAACCTTCAAAAAAATAAAAAATAAAATAAAATAATGGAATATTTTATTTTGTACCCCATAATCACACCGGATGTAACCTGCTTTATATGGTTTATACTTTAAACTGCTATTACTGAGTCAGAAATACACCGAAGTACTGAGAAAAGTATCTAAATATTGATCATTTTTGTTGAGAATTCTATATGATGAATAAATAAATCCAGGTACACTATATTTAAAGGGGCAGCATTATGTATTTTCCAGGTACATACTGCTATTTTACAGCACAATCAAGTAACTAGAACACCTTCAGTTGTTTCAAAAGTGGTATGGCTTAAACTTCATCATGACTTCATCTTGAAATTGGGCCTCTGTCTCCTTAAGAAACTCCTAATGAAACAGCTCCTTTAGGGACTCATCACAACATTGCTCCTGTATCAACCCTTTGACGTCAACGATGTACTCAGCAATGTACTGAGAAATCTTCCAGCAGATACACAGTTCCACCCGATGTTTGCTAATTGCTGTTGGCTAGTCTTAAGGAGCTGGATGGGGAAGATGCGGGGAAGGGTTGCTCTGTGAGGCGGAAGCTTAGAACCTGCAGCTTAGAGGAGGAGCTGCACCTCGAAGGCGTTTTGCACAGCTGAATGGTTGCCATGGGAGACTCGAAGTACACTTTTGATGAGGGAATAAATAACATGACGTAAAGCTCAAAAAATGTCAATTTTACATCATACTGTCCCTAAGAGGACTAACATTCATGAATACCATCGCACTCATTAACATCATAGTAAATGTCTTAGAATGGCCTAGTTGAAGTACATATCTAAAATAGATGAACTTGAAAATAGAGCCTTTTTTTTTAAGTGACTGAGCTTGAGCTAATTTATTTTGAGCTGAATTTTCTGGCGTTTGATGTGCAGAGAAATAACCCAAGAGTCAGGAAGCTTGTTCTATTATCACCGTATCGACTGAAGAGGGTTTAATACAAAGCATTGAACACTTTTTAAAAATTTTTTATTATGAATATTCAACTGAATTTTCCTTCCACTCCTCACTTTAAACAGATATGTGAAAAAGTTCAGAGGCAGGGAATCCCAGGGTTTCCCTACCTGCAGCAGAGTGTAGGTGGAGTTCTTCTTGAGGAAGGTGCGGGCGGTCCGCTCCCTCCAGGCTCGAGCCGAGGCCACCTGAGACTCCACTTGTCCGAGTGGATCGAGCCGCACGGGGATGGAGCGGCCTCTGGCCAGCAGGCTCTCCAGCTGCTCCAGGTAGGCGTAGCTGCTTCCGCTCTGGATGGCCTCCACCTTACAGGTCCAGTCCTTGGCCTTCTGCAAGGCCTCTTCCAGAGCCAGAACATTAGGCAGATACGCCGGGATGTTCCTTGCCTCCAGCACAATGCTCTCCAGCGTCACCATGCTGTGGCGAGGCCTGGGTTTACAAGAGGACACACAGGCAGAAGTGTTCTACATCGCTTCGCTTCAACATCCGAACATCAGGAATTCAAAGCTGTATTTTAGGATGGTAATCGTTACCTAGCCTGCAGGCAGGCCCGTGCTTTATCCTCCCATCTCTCTGAGACGGTGAGGACTTCCTGTAGCTCTGCCATTGCCTTCTCCACAGCGTGATGCGGCGCTAAGCCGACTCCTGAGTCTATCAGCCGCTTCATTAGCTCCAGAGTGACGCGGTGCGGCTCAGCAAGGGTGCCACGGACCTTCGGTTTCAGAAAGATGGCAGAAGAAGCAAAAATAAATAAATAAATAAATAAATAAATAAATAAACGGCTTAGTTTGTTTTAAGTTATAAAAATATTGTGCAACTCTGTCACTGCTAGCAAGTAAAAAGAAGCATCTCCCCTCACAGACATGGGGTTTCTGCAGGTTTCACCAATTCAAATTTAAGACTTTTAAAAGCCATTGTGAATGGGATTTCAGTGCATTCAGTACACTGGTGATAAATTTCCACCTAACCACGATAGACGCAAAAATACACAAGAGATTTCTCCAAATGAAATTCACTTTCACTTGATTGATGGTCTTAATTATGCTATTTGGGACAGAAGAGCTACAAGCTGAAGATATTACTCTTGACACACTTTTAATTTTTGTTTTATTAAATTCATCATAATACAGAAAGGTCTTGCTGGAGCCAGAAGTTAAGTTTGGATTTATATTTGTTAGTTTTGCTTTCAAAAGCAAAATTAACAAATAACAAATAAAATATTAGCTCTAACTAATAAGATTAGCTAGAGCTAATATTACTAATTAGCTAGAGCTAACTAGCAAGGGTGTATTAGCCACTAGTTAGCAGTAGCCTCAACATCTCGAGTTATAGAACGCAATGAGGATTTCTGAGTGCGACTAATTTTTGCCTGACAGAAATGTCCACAAAAAAAACAACATTAAATGGTTCTGTCAAGAAAAAATGTAAGATATTAAAGGCTAACTTACATTTTAAAATTAATTTAAGACATTTTAAGGCCATAGTTTTAGATATGCAAAGACTTTTTTAGGATGGTTGACACCCTGTGACAGAATCAAACCCTTTTCCAAAAGTTCACAGTATTTGCCACATTAATGATTAGCAACACCGGGGGCTAAGAACAACCCACATACGGAGGCCTTTGTCCTCGGCACGGCTGTCGCAGGTTCGATTCCCAATCAGGTGACCTTTGCCGTATGTATTCCCTCTCTCTCTTTATCATACTTTCCTGTCTTAACATTTTCCAATAAAGGTCACTAGAGGAAAAAAAACAACTTTAAAAAAAATTTGCACCACCAGCCCACCTCATCAAGCCAGCGGGCCTGCTGCAGCTCCTGCTTTAGCTTGGGCAGCTCAGGAAGCTCCACATCCAGGCCACTGCCCAGGTCCAAAAGCTCCTGCAGCTTGGAGGAGTCGGGCATCTCGTCGGACAGAGCCACTTGCGCTCGCTCGTGGAAGTCCTCCACTGTCTCCAGTAACTCCTGGAGACACAGAGAGCATAAAAAAAAATCCAAAACAGCAGGTGTTCGATGCTGCTGAATAAGAAGGAGGAAGGTTAAAGGATTTAATACAAACTTTGACTTGTCGCGCCTGGCTGATGATGCAGGGCAGCCGGAAGAGCTGCTCCACAAAAGCCTTGAGCTCGTCCACGGTCAGCTTGGTGCGGTTGCGGCTACTGTCGGAACGAAGGCGGCTGCTGCAAAGACACAGAGAAAACTCCTGGTTCTCATTTAAAGCAGATGAATACATAACATGAGATAAAAAAATATAAATAAATAAATAAAAAAAAACAGCCAACAACCCAGCACTTTCTTGATACAAATGTGACTAACCAAAGTAGCTGTGATTACACAGAACCATCTTTACTGCCGGATTCCATTAGCATGAATACAAAGTTTCACTCTGAGGGAATGGCAGATGTTTTTGCAGTGATTTCAAACTAAAAGAACCTGCGAAAAACAAACTGCAGGGGAAGAAAGAAAAGAGGAAAGAGAATAAAGCACGGAATTAGGACAGCTGAAAAAAAAAGTCTGATTTAAATCTTCTGAGATCAAAATACCAAGAAAAAAAATTAAGATTTTTCAGTGGGCCTAATCATCTTCTATATGGACAGACGAGAGGATGTATGGGTGAAAAAGATAAATGGAGATGGAATAAAGTCTAGAAATAAAAGTTTTCAGTTATTCTCATGGTCTTCAAAACACTTCAGACTGAGTTTTCTCAACCATTGCCGTTTTGGAGCAGTGCTGGGAACCAACCTGTGCCTTTGCTTGCGGCTGAGCAGCAGCTGGGCCACAGAGGAGCACGTCTCTGCCTCCTTCACCATCTCCCTCAGGCGGCGGAACAAAGCGTTCTCGGGATACTTCCTGTCCTCGGCGTCCTCCAGCAAAACCTTGAGCTCTATTAGATCTACCACAGAGGAAGAAGGAGGGAGAGACGAATCAGTCTGGAAATCAGTTTGCTGGGCGTTAATTAAACTCTCACATGCCTCTGATTTTAGCTCGTTTTTTTATACGTATAAAAATATTCCAGGAAGGTTCCTGTTTTGTGAGAAACACTAAAATCAAATTCCAGTCTTTTCTAGAGTCTACAGAAACTCTATAATATCAATTTTATCATCATGTGGATGTGTTTTTTACAGCTGAATTGGGGTCTACCTTTCTTGTTTTTCTGGTCTGCCGCTAAAGCCTCTGCGACCCGCTTGGCCCAGGTGTCGTAGGACTGGGCCCGCGTCTTCACGCCGTACAGCATGGACGGAAACTCCTCCAGATCGTAACGGTACCTGAAAGAAACCGCGCGATGATGCAGTTACACATATTTGTCCATTAAGCTGAAGTTCCACAAAACCCATCCTGAGCTGTCGTGCAGGAACAAAAGAGGATCTCACCGAAGACACTTGCTGCCGAGGGGACAGTCACAGAGGTCCTTAGCGTGATGGAGACAGACGAGCCTGTCCGGGCTGCAGGAACACGTCAGCGCAGACAGGAAACACGTCGTCTTACACTTGTAGCACTGACGCTCGTCGTCTGGAACGAGCTCGAAAACCTCCTGCTCTGATGAGAGCACTCCCTTTGAGGAGAGATAACAGAGTGGATGATGATTACATTCACGTCTGACGATTAGCGTTCAGCTAACCGGGAAGGAAAGACTTACCATCTCCTGGACAGCCTGCCTCAGTTTCGTTTCCTCCTCTATCATATCGTCCATTTCTTTGAAGACAGCCGCCGCCAGCTCCACGTCGAGGTTCTCGGGATCGGCCGCCATTTTGCACAAGAGCTCCTCGTGGGAGAAGACGCAGTAGCGGTGGAGGCGGCGGTAGTGGGCGACACACTGACGACCCAACGGCAGCTAGGAGAGCAGAGAGGGTGTGATGCTTTTCTAAACAAAGAATGGAAATAAAACCTACAAGAGGAGTTCTTGTTTTCCTAACCCAGTCTGCGGTGCAGAAGTTCACAGCTTCTGCAAAGTTGTAGCCTTGGTTGAAGCCGCTGTGGTAGGCCCTCGGGAAGGTTACCACGAACTCCCCTGCACACTGATTGGTTCGGTAAACCTGGAGTAAGAGATTTTTTTTATTCACGCGAGATGACCCGGACATCTCGTCGAGTCAAATATTTAGACCTCGGGTGTTTCGGATACTTACGGGGACGCCGTGATCCATGAGGACGTTGGGATTCATGATGGTGACCAGCTGATGCAGAAGGTCTGGCTGAGAGTCAAAAAGCTCCGGAGCCAGCTTTTTCATGACAGCCTCTAGTTTCTCTGCTGCAGAGGCTGGCACTCCATACCAGGTTTTGGGTTCTCCCCTGGAGGCCAGACAAAGAAAAGCAACGGATTAATATAAAAAAATAATAATAAACCGAGAAGAAAGAACATGTAGTTTATTGAAAAGTTATATTGCTTATATTTTAAACGCACATTGAGATTAAAATAACTCCCACCAGATTTCCAGACAGCCAATGAGGCTAAACAACTGCATTGTTGTCAAAAGCAATTCATAAATACCACAAATGATATCTAAAGGCGTTCCACAAGGAGCCATTTTAGTTTCCATTTTGTTGTTTATTTTTAAAATGACTTAGAAAGTACTGACTGCAAACAAAGTCAATTTATTTGCTGATGATGCATTCATATACATTTCCAAGCTAAAATTTTTGACTTTTAATCATAAAAAAATGTTTTTACTTAATTTAAAAGTATCTCCCCTCTGAAACACCACTCCAATGCAATAACGGTCACCTCTAAATCAAAAATCTCTCACCAATGAAGGAAATTGATAGAGTAGCTCCAGTGGTCCTCGATGTGCCAGCAGAACGAGGAGAAACACATGCCCACATAGAGCCAGGGCACCTTCATGCCTGATATGTCAACATTAATGTGTGTGAGAACGGACTGTTCCAGTACTGGCATGTTGTTCAAGTTCCAGCCTGAGTTTGCATATTCCTGTCAGAAGAGAAAACGAGGACTTCTTTACTAATGGGTCAAAATACAAAAATACATTGTCACTTTTTTTCCTTTTTCCCCCAAAGTGATTTTGGAAAAAAATTAATCATCTTTCTTTCCAAAAGACGTTTGGAGCAAAAAATCCCAACACCTTAGGCAAAAAAATGACTTATTTTAGCAACGTGGCATTATTACAATACTACATATTTTTCATCATAACTGATAAACGTTATAGAATAATAACTAATATAACAGGATAAGAAATTAACAAACTTGAACATATAACCTATGACGAAAGATAAAAACATTACATTTTTCTTTAAACACAAAGCCTTTAATCAATCAGAATTTTTCTTTATTAATTGTATTACAATGAAATATTCTCTTTACAACAAATTTAAACTAATTTGACCAAAAATGTGTTACAGTGAAACAAGTTATAGTGCTTATATGTGATTATTGTTGATATTATCGCCACCTGGTGGCTAAGACTAAATATTTCAGCAGCTTTTGTTAAATAGGTCAGGGATGATATATATTTAATAGATATATAGCAACCGAAACATATTAATTACATAATTCAAAAAACACGGCCATGTGAGACGTATGAGTGTTGTCACCTCTTCATCTCCCAGAAGCCTCCTCTTGCCGTCCTTCATAGGAAAACCACTGCCCACGTCCTTGGAGCTGATGTCAGCGCCGTACTCTACGATAACGTCCTCCTCGATGCTGCTGACCAGGCGCCAGAACTCCTTCTCGACCAACTCTGTCGGAACCATCTAATAACACGCAGAGGACTTTGTTGAGCTTTCAGATTGAGGCGCAAACTGCCGTGACTCCATTTCCCCACCAACGGGTCACACACACCAACTCAAAAGGTTTGCTCCACTCACGTGAACTGGCATGTTGAAATAGTCGGATTTAAAGTGGTCGGCCATTTCACCGAAACTCTGCAGAGTGTACTCCCTCACAGCCTGCTCAAAGCCAAAAGCCTCTCGGGGCTTACTGCACTCCTGTGAGGGAAACAGAAATGCGCATGAATTTGAAACAAACTACACAGCAGAAGACATCGCGAGTATCCAGCCACACAAAACTCTGGTTTTGACACACAAAACTGGCTCCAATCTTATTTGGCAGACAGGAACTACTTTGTTTCATTTGGTAATTAAAATTCTGGCCCAAAAAAATGTGAATTGTGAGGTTTCCAAAGGGTCCATTGTTGGACCACTTCTATTTCACACCTCATATCTCTGTGTCACAGCTTAACCCTAGTCCTCTATGCTCACTGATACAGTGTGTCCATAATATAAATGAAGCCTTGGGTCTACAGAACACAGAACTTGCAAGAGGCCTGACAGTAAACACTTTGCTCTGCTAAATAAACACTTGTTTAATGGCTTTGAAGGTCACATGATTATTAAGTAAAATGGTTTTCTCTAAAATTTAAAGTTAGCTTTTTCTTGATGAAAACAGTAATTTTAAAATAGTTTCGGGTCATTATGTAATGACTGATCAGAGTAAAATAGAGTTGGCCCTTTTTTTTGGATCCAGTCTGAAAAAAGAAGTGAAATGAAAAGAATAACAAATGTTGCTGGATGATAAAATGTCCAAGAAGTTATTGTGATAGACGATGATGTTGTTTTTAGACCATTTTTAAGTAATATAATGGAGATGGCATAATAATGATAGAAACCATTCTCAAAGATCAATAAACTTTAAATTCTAATGAACATTTAACACAGGAACCAGAAGACATTTTAAATATTCAAAACAAATAAAACAAACAAAATGAGTGATAGCATACGAGACCAAACGTAAAAGCTCTAGCTGAAGGTTCTTGAATTTGTCAGGTGTCTCGTAGCCTACCTCAGCGACACACTTCGGGCACCTCCAGTCTCCTTTGGGCACGTCCTGCAGGGGTGGAATGAGGCAGAAAGTGTGGTAGCTGTCGTCACAGCCGTCACACAGCAGCAGCCGGTCTTCCTCGTCGCCTCGTCCGCACACCAGGCAGAAATAAAGATCAATCTTGGGGGAAGAAAAAAGAGGGCACGAGAGATATAAAGACTGTCACAGCTCATCTAACTCAGAAAAACAAGACTCAGATTTTGAGCAAAGATGACTGAAACTCTTACAAAGTTGACCTCCAGAGTCTCCTTGCGTGGTCTCATCTTAATGGCGAAGGCCTGGGCTTTGAGATGCCGCTGCTTCTTAATGAATCCATCGTCTACGTAGAAAGAGAGCAGTGCAAAAGAGGATGAGTCCGTCTGATGTTTGCAAGTGGCATGTTTTAAATAATAAATAAATAAATAAATAAATAAAAAATAATTTACCAGCTGATACAATCTCCAATCCGACCATCTTGGGACTAGTTCCGAAGATTTTGAGACTTTTGGGCTCCTTGTTTTCCCTCTGTGGGGACAAAAACAGCAGAAAACTGTAAAACAGACAGATTCCGATGAAAGGCAGGAGCTTAATACAACTTATACCATGTCGTGATTTACATTTTATCATCACAAGGAAGAGCAGCAAACATACAGTGGGTGAATGATGAGCTCATGATTTTCTGTAGCTGGTCTATGTGATTGATGTAAACTGTCGCTTTGCCTCCTACCTCCGACTTCAGTCGTCTGGATCGCCTCTCTGATGGAAGCCGATCTTTGGTTTGAGTCACGTCACCCTCTTTGTCTTTCTCCTTGTCGTTTTCATCCTCCTCTTCTTGCTCCTCTTCCTCCATCGCATCCTCCCCGACACCCTCATCCATTTCTTCCCCATCTGCTCCCTCATCGTACAGCCGCTGGATGCCCTGATTAAAAGCGACAGGAGAAACGAACCGACGTCGTTTTCAGGTCCAACGTGACCGCTTGCGTTTTTAAACAAAACTACATCAGTAGAACGACGAGCACCGCTTACGGTAAGGGTAGCACCAGACTGGAAGAGTTCATAAGGGTAAAGGAATCTCTCATAATGCGAACGCAGAAGAGAACCGGTGCCTTTTCCCGATGGGAAGCCCATGCGAGTCGCCACTTTGGACCATCTCTTCTCTTTGCACACCGTCTCAAATCCGCCTTCAGACGACACAATCTGAAAGGGACGCAAGCGTCCAACATAAGGACATTAAGTTATTTGAATGTGTCCAGTAACTTTTAGCTGTGTTCATTGTACCCACTGAGTGCAGCAACAACTGTCTACTTAAAAAGGGCAGAAAATCCAGCTTCACCTTGCTGAGCTGATAGAGGTCCAAAATCTTTCTCTCTACATGAGGGAAACGAATCTTGGATCCTTGCAGCTCCCAGAACTTTGCGATCTGATCCAGGAAGTTCAGTTTAACTCGAGTGAGCGCCTGTAAAAAAAAAGAAAAAAAGATTGGAAATATAGACAAAAGAGTGAGTGTTTTGAGTAAAACTGGTGTAGGAGTGCAGCTAGTTATGAAAGGCATTAGCGGAGTGTTTCTACTGATCCAGATTTTAACAAGGACAGTATAAATTTTCACATAATGTTCCCACCAATGGCTGTGAGCTTTAGCATCTCAGCCACTACCAAACATTATATTTGGCGAGGACATTAAAGTTAATTTGATTTCATCTAACTGGCCAAATATATCCTCAATTTGCAAAAAAAAAAAAAAAAAAAAACTCACCTCAAGTTCATTGAGTCTCTGCACTCTCGGGGTGAAGCGGAAGTTGCGAACATCACAGGCAAACGGAGGCTGCCAGTCCTGACGGACAGAAGAGAAACAGAAGGTACTCCCAGAACTACTTCAGAAATGAGGAAATGGAAACGATCCAAACTGGATCTAACGCTCGAAGCAGCAATGATTAAAAAAATTTAATTTAAAAAAAGAAAAAAACCTTTAAAGATACAAGGTTTCCCCCAGAAAACTTACAAAGCCCGGTGGTTGGGTGTTAGGGCAGTCACTCATCCAGCGGCCTGTTTTGTTTTTGAGTTGAATTTTTTTTTTTAAATTTCACAGAAAATTTGAAAATATCACTTGATTATGTGTTATTGGAAGTTTGGAACATTAATATCTGAACACTAACTATAAAGTCTTAAAAAATGCAAACATTAAAAAAAAACTTAAATAAGCTATGCTAAGCCCGGTGGGGGCACAAGTAAAGCCTGGTGGCCCCCAAGGCTTATAATACACTGGGGGAAACCCTGTGATAATAATAGCTACACACCCAATTTACAAGTGTCCCACTCTTCATTTTATTGGAATGTTTGGTTGAGTTTTAATGAAATTAAAAGTGTAATCCTGGAGTTGTAGATTCAAAATATGTAAAGCCATTTTTTATTCACATAAATAAGAGCCAACTGTCACTATTTCTGAGCTGACATGAGCATTAGGCCTGTATTTCCTCCAATGTCATCATCGACATTATTGATCTATAACTTTGTCATCAGGACAACAAAAACAAAGCATTGGATACAGGAGCTGTATAAAGCTTTTTTTTAGACACTTTTCATGACAAAATACGGAAAGCAAACAAAAGACACAAAGGGCTAAGAAATTAAGCTCTGCTTGACCTTTGTTAGAGTAGCCAACTAGTAGTTGAGTTACACAAAATTCAAGCAGGCCTACAGTAAACCTCAGCTGCGCACTTTTGATATCACAAAAGGATAAACTCGTTCAGATTTCAAAAAGAAGGGTTTTCTCGTGCTCAAATGGAAGTTTACCTGGGGAGGTCTGATCTTGCAGATGCCCGTTTTCTCTGCAATCGGTCGGATCTTGTTGATGAATCCTAAAGGATCCGAGAATTCCTCCCAACTCGGCTCAAACACCGGGCACTCGGGAGGGGGAACGAACTCGGCGAACGCAGCCATCTCGAAGTGAATCCGGGGAAGCAAGTCATTCACAAAAACAAAACAAACAAACAACAAAAACAAAAACCAATACGCTCAAAATAAAAGAGTTGACATCAAGGATCCATGATTTAACAGCAACCGTCTTGGGGAAGTTCCTCCACGTCCATGATTATTCTGCAAATCTTCCGTCGATGAGAAATGTATCACATAGCAGTGATCATGTCTTGATTCATAATGAGGCTTGTGAGAAAATCCAAAACACAGAAAAAGGCAGCAGCTAGTGATGAGTGTGCTCCCATCCTCCGTAAACAGTCGGGTAGGCCAGGCCGGGAAGTGTTCACCTGAGACGTAGGGCAGGGTCAGTCCGACATGCTATCATCTTTGTTTCTTCGGGTTTCTGCGTTTCCAACAAAGTTATCAGCGCCTAGCTCACACTTTGCTTCTTCTTAAGAATACCACCCAAACTGGATGCTAATAGCAAGCTCGCGTAGTCGGGTGATGCATTCACCCTGTTCAACTGCTCGTACTCAAAGGGGCAACAAGCAGGAAGCTAATTAAATCGGTGCTAGCTTAGCATTAGCTGTCTGTTGCGCACCTAAACATTGCCGTCAGACGAATAAAGTCGCCTAAGCGAGCTAGTCTTCTCTTATACATTCGTGGTAAATTAACATACATTATGAAAGCACAGACACATTTGTTTTATGCCTTAAAACGTTTAAGAGTGGTAGGTTTGCGCATAAATGAACGTCGTCTACGAGTAACATAGCTGCATTAGCAGACATGCTAACTAGCACTAGCAAGGAAGAGAGAACTGTTGTGATGCCTCCAGAGAAACTCGGAAAAAACAGCTTTTTCAGCGCTAGTGATGATAAAGTTGACAACAAAAACATATAAATGACGGTATTTCATCAATTTAAGTTCAAACTGATTTTTCTTTAAAAAGTGTCCAGAAGGTTTTTGTTTTTGCCTTGCTGCTTATGCAAACACTATACTGGGTCTGGATGTTGATTTAAATGACAGAAATTCCGAAACAACACAATGCAAAATGAAAAATAATATTGATTAAAAGAGACATATTAATACGAAGAGCAGATGTTTAATCCAGGGCTATAAGTATAGGAATGTATAATATTGTATAATATAATATAAGTATAATATTGCTGCATTACATTTTGTTCTACGGTTGTTGGGGAAACACAAAAACTGAATATTGTTTTGGACATTTAAAAGGTAGGTTAGGAACACACACCCTTATACTTTTACATTCTTTTAAAGAAAATGCAATTATAAGAAAAGCTACAATTATAAATACATTTTAAATAAATACAAAAAAGTAGGCGGAGATATTGCTCATGCTGAAAAGTTGACTATCAAATTAATAGAAGCTTTCAGTCATTTTTCTCTCTCTTCCATTGTCCTGTTTTGTTCGACTTGTAACTCACTTTTACAGGTAAGAAATTAAGTTTATAGTGGCTTACACAGAACTATATCGGATTTCATAGCCTCAAAACTTCTCGGGTACAGATTTTTATTTTATAGAAGCGACCAGCAGGTGGCGCTCGCTGACAGTTTTTCTTTCGGCTGACGTTTGGAGGCTCTCAACAAGCCCACCCCTCACCTCACAGTCCTCAAACCTGTGACGTTCCCCGCGAACTTCGTCCAGTAGCACTCCGCCACATCCGCCCATTCACAGCTGCACCGAGGATGCGGAGGGAAAACTCGTCGTCACGTCTTCATGGTTTTGGTCGCATTTGGACGTTTAGGTTCGCACGGACTTGGGGCTAAACAAACTCCCCACCCCCCACCCCTTCACCCTCTCTCTGATGCAGACTACAAAACAAACTCTTGATGCGGCTGCAAGGCGAAGAACTGGAAAGGATGATCAATTTGTAGACGTGGATATGAGACATTCGGTGTCATTCACTCATTGAGCAAAGACTGTACATTTTGTGCAAGGATTTATCCCCCCCTCTTTTTTTTTTGTATTTAAGCATGCGTAATTATATTTAATATCTGCAGAGTGGAACATCGTCTCGTTCTTTTGGCACGCCTTGTTTCTTGTGCGCTTTTACGCACGGACGCAGACTAAAACTGGCGCAGGTTGAGGTAGTAGTTTGTGCTGTTGGCCGGGTCGACGTGATGCCCCATATGGAGATGACTGCGCAATCTACTGCCTTGCCGGCGCTGGTGACTCGCTGCAGAGAAGACTGAAGACTTATTTGAACTACAATCTGGACTCAGGTTTTTTTTGTTTTTTAGATAAATGTGTGATTGTGGCGTGGTACAAAAGCGCCATTATCGGTTAACTGGTATAAAACTTGCACTAATTTCCCTCAGTAGTTATTTTCTTAATAAATTTTGGTCCTTCTAATAAAAATATTTTAAAAAATCCAAATGTTAAAATGGATTTGTATTTTTGCACATTCTGAAATAGTGGGGAACCAACAAGTTGGTGTGGAGAGATTAGAATAAGACATTTTTGCACTTTTCCTGATTGAAACCCCCTTTTACCCCCCAATTTGTCAATAGTGTTTTTTGTTTGTTTTACTATCTTTCCTTTTCTATTTTCTCAGTGTTTTCCAACCTGCTGTTATGGATTTGTTCAATGTAACCATGCATGTGTTTGGTCAACTACTTGCCTTTATGACATCATGAAGTGATATCCGGCTTAACAGTGTTTTGCACCTGCTGGAAAAAGCATATTTGAACTGTCTGAGATGAATAAACTAAGTTTTGAGTAACACAATTTATGAACAAGTTTTCAAAGAGGTCTTTTAAGTTTACCCCACCTCTTTGACACCTGCTCAATGACTAAGACCTAAAATAACTAGTTTTGCATGGATAAAGTCAACTGTAACACAGAAGTTTGTGGTGGAACGGACACAGTTCTCTTGTAGTTGAAGGTCACACAATTCAGAGAATCACTTTTACACTTCAATCTTTAAAAGCTCATCACAGTAGTTCGGAGTGTTCTTCTACAGAGGCCCGAGTTGTAAGTGAACGTAATTTCTTGTGATATTAACTCGACATGCTTTACGCCGGAGTCACATTTACCAAATCGTGCTTTCAGAGGAGGAGGAAGCTGGAGCTGAACCAACAACGCTGCTCCACCATCTTTCCAATCACTTAAACCGATAGATGACATTTTAAGTGGATCTTCCTCATGAACTGGAGAAGCTAAATGCCAGGTTACTGGCACAGAGATTATTCCCCCCCTTTCAAATTCAGATGTTTACATACCATTCCTGAAATTACCATGAAACTGTAAAGCTTGGGTCAAACATTTTGAATATCTTTCCTCAAGCTAGCAGCTCTAAGCTAGCAGCAGATAAATCTATAACATAAACGGCATCAGTAATGACTGGCTGTACTGCGAATCCTTTGTGCTTGTTCTTTCTGAGACTGCCTGTAGCTGAAAGCAGGACAGATTTGAGCATTCTGATTGGTAGCTTTGAGTATTCAATTATCTGACTAAGACAAATAGTATTGTTTGACATGGATCTTTATTGTCTTTTTTTTATTCCTGGGTAAGAAACACCAAAGGTAAACATCGCTCGTCTCCATCCGACGTCAAGCTTGTGCGAGGAGACATCAAAATAGTAGTTTATCACTCAATGAGGTCGTGTTCCTTTATAAAATTACATCTCACATTCACATTGAAGTAAGGGTAGCACGATAGTTAGCTAACAACAACCCCCAACTAGGCCTCAAAGTCGATCTTTGCTACAAAAAAAAAATCCCCCTCAGCTTTACAAGTTTTCTAACCTGGTAGTGTTGCGCAGGAAAACAAACAAACATTTGTAGTACAGCAAAAATGACAACAATCAGGTAGATGGAACTGGACTGAAGACTTCATGTACAGCTAGTTGTAAATGACTGCATTCAGAAAACCCAACATAGGTAAATCATAACCGAACCTGAGCCGATGTGCAAAAGTTGGGTGACGATACAAATAAATCGTACTTCACATTCTTCTAAGAAAGGGCCTCAATCACGCTCAGATGATTCAGGGTGTAATATAAACATGTCATTAATTAGCTAACGAGATTTCTTCAATGGACGGTACAAGAGGAGCACAGCACCACATCATCTGCAGGAAACAAAAAACAGCTGCTGCTCTGACATAATGCAGATGGTTTCAGTTATGTTGGGGGGGAAAATGTCCAAGATGGTTAACTTGAGTGCAACAAATATCGGACAGCAGAAGGAGTATGAACTGTTGATTTTAAGTGCATTTATAAGAAATGACAAACTTTTAGTGTATTTCAGAGACATCGATAAATAGTTTAATTTTGATTTACCCAAATCTTAAGGCCGAATGAAGTTAAACTAGCTAAAATAAGCTATGCTAAGACATTTTAATCGAAGCATTTGATTGTTTTATGGTGATAAGGTTTTCAGTTTATTGTTCAGAAACAATACAACTCTGAAAATACACTTCTGAGTTTAAAGCTTTGTTCATTTCAAAGACTATAAAGAGTTTGGCTTAGGCCTTGAATTTTAGGCCCAAACTATGGCAAATTATCTAAAATGAGCTAAGTTAAGCTAAGCTACACTGAGCTATGCAGCCGCTTGCAGAAACTAGTTGCAAGTTTTACACTTGCAACTAATTCAATTTTGAAAATACACTTTGCATCTAAAATCTAACATTTTAGTGCATTTCAAATAAGCTAAGTATTATTTGTTGTTTATTTACTCTTTTTTTTTAGTTAAATAAGAAACTAAACAGTGTTATTCTGCTGTAATATTTAGAGGCAATATTACACCTTGTATCAATGTACTTTTTAACAGATAAGGAACAGGATAAAAAAAGTTTATTTCAAGGTTGCAACCTTCCCCAATCTCAGGGCAAAATGAAGTTAAATTAGCTAAACTAAGCTACATCAAGAGAAATGTAGCTTGTTGAAATTTCAGTCAATGTTTCTGTTTATTGACATTGGGAAACAATAGTACTGATTTAAAGTATATTGATACTTTAACTTTACCAGGGTAACCATCAACAACTTAAAAATCCATCAAAAAGGCCTTTATTTAACTCCTTAACTTTTAGCTGCTAATGCTATTAGCTTTATAGCCTTACTGCTTTCATACGTTTTATTCTCTGCAGATGCTCCAGGCATTCAGATGTATTCACCAATTTTTATTTTTTTCTTAAAATGTTTAATTTAAAGTTTATTTAACTGTTTTAGAAACATTTTTCTATTTTTTTTTAAATAAGCTCCTTTTAAAACTTAGCAATTAGGCATTTCTTTTCTTAATGGATGCTTCTCTTATCTTCTGCTAAACTCTTTAGACTCAGTTCTCTTTTTGAAGTCCAGTAAATAAACTCAAACTGACACAAGCATGCAAATATTGTCTATATTAGGATTGTACAAATCCATAAGCAACTTTTTTATGTCATCCTGTAGCTTTTGCAAGAAATCTCTGGTTGCATCCAAAGCTAATGGAAAGCCAACGGTCTTATAAACATCTTGTTCGGACATTCACAACAGAAATTACGAGATACATTACATAAATAAAAAGCCCATAAAAAAGAAACAGCAAAATTAAACCATTGCACCGTCGCTCATCCCAGGCCTAAAATAAATTACTGCATATACTAAAACTACATCCACACATCGAGATACTTTCAGCCGAGGCAGCGTCGACTTAGAGCTTCTGAAAACATAAAACAGAGCAAAACAGGAAAAAAAAAGAAAAAGCTTTTACTTATTTTAAGAATGATTGTATTTTAGGTTTAGTTATGTTTTACATTCTCCCTGCTGCAGGGAATATTTGCCTCCACGCTTTTCATATCTTGGCTCTTGAGTGCAGCTACACTGGTGCAGACTTCATTCAGTCCAACATGGCGTCTTTGTAGGGATTTATATACCAATGGAAATTTGATGCGACAACTTTTGTTTGGCTTAGACTGGCACGGGAAAAAAAAAAGTGTATTTGAATGACGGATTTTGAAATGTACAAAAACTTCACTTTTTCCCCTTTGCTTTGGTCCTAAGAAGAAATTCTCCAGTCATTTATGAAAGTTTTCATTTGGATGTTTTTAACCAGAGATTCATAGGATTTCTTCTGAACTTTGAATCATTCTAGCGTGTTAAGAAGCTCAGTGTTAACTGGCCTAATAGGACAGACCCAAAGACACGGTATGTATAAATAGATCAGGTATCGGACCGATAATGATTGAACAGCAGACAAAAAAAAAAAAAAAAAAAAGGAAAAAAATCTTTGAAAGACTTTCAGGAAGCATGGAAAGCTACAGCTCTAAATCACTTTGAGAGGTAACAAGAAAATCCGACGCTTAGGAAGGAAAGATACAAAAAAAATGAGGAGTAACAGTTCAGTAGATGTCAGGTTAAAAAAAAGAAATTTCTTTGCAAGACCCTGACTTTGGATCAAAAGTATTCATACACTGTTTTGGTTAATTTTGTATTAAAAAGGAGCTGAAGATGGAAGCTTAGAAATAGAAAAAGGATGGAAGAGTACAAATGCATGCCATGGCAAAACAGAGTAGTGGCAGCAGGATGCTGTGGGGATGCTTTAACCCACACGGGACAGGGAAGTGCTCCTATTAAAAGGCTCAATCCAAGTCCAGACTCAAATCTAGTACAGAAACTGTAGTTAAATTTAAAAAAAAATTTTTTTACTCACCCTGAACACACCACTCCCATGGTAAAACACGGTGGTGGCAGCATCATTGTACCAAACAACAACTTTGTGTTTCGTCTATTAAATAAAATCCCGTCCAAACGCAGAGAAGTTTGTTGTTGCAACATGAAAAAATGGGAAAAAGCTTAAAGTGCTTGGGATACTCTAGCAAAGCGATGAAAAGCAAATAAGAAATATGATTTTAAAAAAGTGCATTGTTAAAAGAACATTAACTCATGTCAGTTAGTGTGCAACACAGTGAAAAGATAAAACCGTAGACAAATCAAATACCAACCAAACTTTATACGAGCCCAGCAGCGTAAACTGTAGAACCAACTTCAGCACAAAATATCCCAAATGCTGGTTCAGCAGGTTTTATCTTCGATCGGGTTACCTTCAACGTTTGTCTTAGGACGCCGTTCGTCAGCAACTGAGCCTTCAAACGCCACATTGTGGCAAAACGGAGAGAAAAAAAAAAAGATAGAAAAGCCGACCTGTCAGCTGCGTCCATGTTCAGACGACGGCGGTATGATTCTTGAAATGAGATCAACCAAACAGGACGGAAGAGAAAGAAAGGGCGAGAAATGTAGGACAAGAAAGAAGTTTTCCTTCCTCCCCTTACTTCAGAAGTCCAGGTGTAGTCGTGTGAATTGCCGCCTTTTAAAACCTTGAAATATCAGTTTCTTCAATTTTAAACCGATTCAGAGAAACGAAACACCGGCAGAGTCTGTTTATGTTTTGTTTTTCGCCTTCATTTTTTTTTTTTTTTAAAAAAAAAGGGAAATAAATAAAATAGGGAATCAGAAGGAGTTGTCACTGTGCAGGACTTATCGATCCGGTTCATGTTTACGGAGACTGGGTCAGGGCTGCCGGTTGCCGTACATTAAGGGGATGATGAAGACGGAGATGTCGTCTCCGGAGCCCAGCCGCTCGTTGGTGATCCTCCAGCCTCTGTCCCTCAGCACGCCCCGCGCTCGCATCACCAGGTCCTGCGCCGCCATCGTGTACCTACGAGCAGAGTTACCATTCGGACTCATGTCCGTGTCGGAGAGCGGACAGAGAGGGGAAAAGGGGAAAAGCCGAAACTGCTTCGGAGGAAGGCGGGAATCCTCACCTGTGCAGGTCGTCGGGGTCGCAGTTGGACAGGAAGGCGCTGACGGCTTCGGCTACCTCCTCGTTGGTCAGGACGTCCCAGAGGCCGTCGGTTCCCATCACCAGGACGTCGTCGGTGCCGTGATTGTGCTGCGTCAGGTTATACACCTTCACCTGCGGAACGCCACACGCCTTCGGTCAGTCCGTGTCTTCGAATGATTTTGGATTTTTTTATTTATTTATTGAAGTAACTTATCGGACGCTGGAAGACTCACTCACTGCTGCCTCAGTCCGCGTCCCCGACGGTTCCCGTCAAATAAATCGAGTTAAAGCGATGTCGTTTTTGTGTGATTGTAATTTGAAAGCCACATTTTAAATCGAACGAGTTGTGCAAGAACTTTTCAATTGTAATTAATGGCCTACTGTTACCCCCCAAAGACATAAAAACAGGGCTCCCACGCATTTGCTAGAGTCCTATTTGTGAAAAAAATGTGAAATATAACTTAAAGGAGTTTGTGTAGAAAGCAAACTTTACATAAACCCCATACTAAGAGGAAAAATGCAAGAAAGGGTGGACAGAAGAAAGAAGAAATTAAATGAGGAATTAAGGGGAGAAGGAAGATGAAAAAGATACAAAGGACAGAAGGAAATAAGTGCACAAAAGAGAGAAGGAAAGAAAGGACACAAAGGAGGGAAGGGATTAAGGAAGAACATGAAAGAAGGAAACAAGAAATTAACTGTGGAAGGGAAGACGGGGAAATAAAGAGAAATAAAGAGAATGAGAACAGAACGATTAAGGAGAAAATTACAAAAGATAATGAGAAAGATATGAAGGAAACACAGACGGGAAGAAGGAATTACTTAAGGAAGAGAAGGAAGGAATAACCCAAGGGAGGGAGGATGGATTGGAGAAAAAGAAAAGACAGATCAATCAGTGGAAGATAAAAATGACATGCTCTAAACTCATGCCAAAAACTAGTAAACTGCATGTTTATTTGTTTGCTTTTATCTCGTTTCTTATACAAACTAACTGCCTGTGTGTCTCCAAAGTGCCCGGTCCCCAACACGCCGCTTCGTTCTGGATGTTTCCATGACTCTAGGAATTGAACGGCGTTATCGCAGCTTCCTGATACAAACAACACACAGGAGGCTTCGCCGAGCGCCGCGTTAGCGAGCAGAGGAGGAGGAGAAGGCAGGAGGTTTGATGTGAACCCGCTGTGAACCCTGGTGATAATGAATTAAAGATCAAGCGCAGAGCTCAGAGAGGGGGAAAAAAAAAACTCTATAAGATGAACTACTTCGGGAGATGAAAGCGCTTTGAATCCAGTGCCAGACGGTTCAGACAGGTGAGTTCAAGTTTTCCGGCGGCAGAGAGATGTGATGAGTGCGGCGCATATGGAGGAGGACGTTATGCCTCCTATACGGCGAGACATGAAATAAATACACAGCTACGCATGAGCAATTGGAGAAAGAGCAGCGTGGACGAGTGAGGAGGGGTGGAAAATCTGATCTCTGGAAGCAGATTCAGCTTCTCAGAAATCTTCTTTTCCTCCCTTTTTGCAATCATTTGGAGTTAAATAACGGAGAGGTGTTCGCTCTGACCTCTGGAATGCAGGACAGGAACGGCTTGATGTAAATGTTGGAGTCATGAACTTTGAGGTCGTAGTCACCGAGCCCCCGGGTCACACCGATGGTCGCCAGGACCCGCGCCTGATGAGCAAAACACGTGAATGGTTGACTTTAGGCGCCCAGATTTATGCCCGATCATGTGAAATGTGAAAGCTCCGGGCATTTAAATATGAAAAATAAAACATGTGCAAGTCTAATATCTGCTTCCGAAGCCCTGGATCGACTCCTCTGTGATGTGCTGACATCATGCTTTTGAAAAGAGCAGCTTTTATTGGAAGTGAGGCAACATTTGCACTGGAGAGGTGACCAAGTTCATGTCTGCGGCGTCTAAAACTCGCCGTTAAAACCTCTTCCTGCGTCAGAAGTTCTGAAACGCAGCCTTGGGTTATTGAATTAAGTGCCAGAACTTTCCAAGATGGAAAATTGTACAATCTTTGAATATGAATCAACTATATTTGAGAGAGAAAAAAATTCTGGTATGATCAAGTTTGGATCATCTAATGTCTGTTTTTATATTTACCCCAATTTATTTAAATTTCAAATCAAACTAGATCATATTTTCTTAACCGCAGCCCTTCTGTGCTTGTTGAATCATTCCTGGTTAAAGTGACTTAAGAGTGATAAAATGTGTGGAGATTAGTATAGAATAGTTTTGACAATAACAGACTTTAAGCAGCTATTAACAGCCCAAGTTTTCAAAACTATATTTTTTATTGGCCTGATGTAATATGCTAATGTTATATGATTTCTTTTCATTAGGTGTTGGCAGAAAATCATCGTGATCAAGAGAAGTAAAGTTGTTAACTTCTTTTGTCTTTTGTCTAATTAATCTATGTGATGGAGTTACTGAAATGCATAAAATTGCAAAAATGGTCACATTTTTTTTTGAATGGATCTGCATCTAAAACATTCGAGAGGAAAGGCAACTGGAAAAGCTGAAATATCCGGTTGCAATGCTACTTGGCTCGGTGCTGGCCGGCGTTTCATAAAAGCAGCGTCAGTGAGGGAGTGGTATGCAAGCCACACTTTCCAGATTTTTACTTATTAACAAAAGGAGGAACTCTGTAGAGAATTTTGCCTCCACCTAACAATTATTACTACCTCGTGCATGTTGGCCGTAAAAACATAAAGGGTAAAAAAACCAGTTCAGACCAGTTACCTTTTTGCCTTCGCCGTAAATAAGAGGAAACTTGAGATCTTCATCCTCAACAGTCTTGTATGCCCTTGAAGATAATAAAAAAGACTTTTAAGTAAAGCATAACCTGCCATCCTTCATTAAGGGAAAGTCAACAAATACACAACAATACGGTTCAAAATTGAATTAATTTAAAGGCAAAGATATAAAGGATGACTTATGTTGTCTGAAATCACACTGACAAGTAGAATTCTGATAATCATTTGAGACTAATTGATATATTGGTTATAAATTAATATAAGTTGACAAAGCTAAGTTATGCTACAAATATAATGATGTAGAGACGTAGCTAACTTATTGTAAAAATGAAGTAAGATGATTAACTAAAAATTAACATCAAACCAATGAGGTCAACTGCACCAAAAGACCAAAATCTACTTTTTAAAATATTAGCAACAGTCCTTTAAACAGATGAACGAGTCATTTAATAAACATCAGCTGGTGAGCTGACAGTATTTGACAAAAAGATAGAAACGCCTTTTTTTTTTTGTTTTGTTTTCAAGCTAATAAAAAAGAGCTAACAGCATCAAGAAATAATATTTACAATATAGGATTTCTGCTATGACTAGTCTTTTAAATAGGAGCTAACTAAAAATTAGCAACACAAACATTTAAAACTAGCGACTAACTTTTACAAAAAAGGGGAAATTTTTGTTCAATTCGGTAAAGACTAAAAACAAAACAAAAATATTTCACTCATGTACAAATGCTAGCAGAACATTGAAGGAAAAAGTAGCATTTGAAGCTTTTCATGCTAGCCCAAAGCTAACCCGCAGCTGTCTGAACACGAGACACCTTCTTTACACACCATTTCATGTTCGTCAGTCCTCTTTTTTTTTTAAATGTGTTCATTTTCTACACATTTTTGAATTGAAAATGAACCAAAATGTCTTGAAAATGTGACTTTAAAATCTGTAAATCTTGTCCAATTTAGCCTAAACAAAACTGATTAGCTCACTTAATACATCACTTTAGACTTTTATTTAGACTTCTATGTTTAGATGAGGAACTTGAAAAAGGATATAAATTACAGGCCTACTAGGGAAAGGTATGTATGAAAAGTTTTACTATGATTTCCAGATTTTTTTAGCATAAATTAATTCCTGCATACAGTTATAGCCTCAAAAAACAAATATTTTGCAATTATCAGACATGCGTCACAAAAACCTTTACTTTGGTTAGTGCAAATATGCTGCTAATGATATTTCCCATGCTCATTTTATACAAAAAATGAATAGATCGTTATATTAGGGATTGCTTTTTTTGGTCAGATTGTCAACAACTACAACAAAGATCAGAGGAATTTACTAAAAATAATACAAATAACACTTAATCCTGTTTCCCTATAAAAAGCTAAACAAAAAACATTTGTTTGCAGAAAAAGACAATACTGAGAACAAGAGGCTGGGAGAGTATGAAGCGTTCAAAGCACCAATTCAAAGAGCAAATCTGAAAAAAAACAACAGACTTAATACTTTGATGTCGGCTTCAAAAACCTCGTAGCCGCCTTGCTGATGTGCTTCAACCGACGAGATCAGATTTGGCACCAAAAGTCAGAGGAAAACATTAACAACTTCAAACGGCTTCACATCCACCCAGAGTTCGCTCTCTCTGTCAGACGGTGCTTCTGTCTGGCCATTAGTCTCTTCGACGCAAGCGGTGAACTTTTCCTGACCTTCCCGCGCCCAAAGCAGCAGATTCTGTCTGTCTCTCTTTTTTGTGTGTTTAAGCAGGAAAGTGTGAAACGCCAGCATCAGCAGTCCTCCCACCCCATCTCGTTCAGCCTCTCGTCACACTCTGAATTGTCTTCCTAGTCTTTAAAATAATCCCCAAGCGTAATCCCGCTCATCTTGCTTTAAACGCATCGGTCTCTGCCGCATGGACCGTATGGAAAGGCATGAGAAAAAGAAAAAAGTCATAACCTGAAAGAACTCCAGTCTGTTCTATGGGGGTGATGCAAATCTTAGCCCAAACATGCAACACTTGCACTGCTCAGAGTTTACTCCTCATTACAGCAAGGAGCTAGCTTGAAAATGGCAGCACTCTGCAGAGCCTTGTGGAAGCTGCTCTGCGACGGAGGAAACTCACCACCCGTTCATGGTGAAATCCCTGTAGAGCATCCTCTTGCCCACCTCCTTCCTCTGAACTCTGCGGGGGAATTCCAGGTGCGTGAACTCGTTCCCCAACAGCTGGGGCTGCATGTAGCCCTGCGGGACGGACAATGAGTCAGTCAGAGAAGCTTCATCTGCCCTTTTATGCAACTCAGATTTTCTCTCTTAAACTTTTTCCACATTTTGTCGACCACAAAGTATTTTATGTGGCAGACTAACAAAAAAAAGTGCAAAAAAATTCCTGAAAGTTTCTGAAAAGCACGGTGTGCATTTCTTAACCCGCGTCTCCCCCGATGCCCCTAAATAAAACCCAGAAAAGAATAATACAACAGGTGAACCTTTATTCCCAAGGTGGGAAATGTGGATGTTGCAGAAGACATAAAAAAATGCTCACACAAAAATTATAAACAAAATTAATAAAAATCAATATATGCATAATATGCCGAAAATGTAATTTCTGCTTATGTTACATTTAAAATAATTTAACACTACAAGGTTGGGCAAAAAAAGTAAACAGAGGTCTCACTAAATCCACTGTGAGACATGGTGGTGGCAGGATCATGCTTTGGAATTTTTTATATATAAGAAGAACCTTAAAAGTGTAGTATGGATATATATACATTTACTCTGATGCCCCAAAATAAAATCCAGGCTAACCATCTGGAAATTTCAGGAGAAAACATACGAGACATTTTCCTTCCCCTTTACAAATATTGCACTACTTCCCCCATAAAATACATTAAACGTTTGTGATTGCAATGCGACAATGTGTGGAAACGGTGAAGGGTTGTGGACACACTGAATTTACCAAGCATAACAAAATATTCCATGTGTTCTGAAAAGAAGAATAAAGTAAAAAAAACAAAACTGTCCAACCAGGAACTGGAGTCGCTGCCGTTCTGACTCTGGCGTGAACTCCGTCGACATGGAAACGATCTCGTTGTCTCTAATGATGATGGCCCTGCAGGACGTGGCGTGGAAGTTTTGCGATGAGAAACGACAGAAGAAAATCACAGAGGCTCTGACTTCACATCTGAGACGTACCTGCTGTCGCCTGCGTTCCCGACGTACAGCTTCCCCAGGAGGTAAACCACGGTGAGCGCCGTGCATCCGCCGCTGATGCTGTACACTTGTTTCTCCCTCTCGATCTGGGCGTCCTGAGGAAAAGGAAACCAGCAGACGGTTTGATGACACACAGCGTATGAAGACAAACAGAAATTTTCCAACGTCCACCCAAGCTCATGTAGACAACAGAGGGAAACACATTTTTATTTTTGCCAGAATAAACCTAATAATTGATTCAAAATGTCCTGGAGTTTGCTGCCACAAAGTTCCCAGAATCATCTTTTGTTTCACAATAGATCCAACAGATGAGTCTGTTGCTAAAAATTACTACATGTAACCAAATTAGTTAAAGTGACATGCCAGGACAGAAAAGCTTTTTCCTCTGTATAATATTGTCAAATTTATGAGTGGCAATTTTCTTCAACAGCAACATAAATAATTCAGATATTATACTTTATAAAGGCTCCCATTTTAAATATAAGAGCTTCTTTTCACTGTAAGAATAGGAGAAACGGGGATTAGCTTACAAGAAGCTTCATGTCGATTTTGTTTTCTGAGCAGCAGCTTGCGAAGCCAACTACTGCCATCTAGTGGACAAACAGCAGAAATGCACCCCAACGTCTTAAAAAAAACAAAAAAAAAAAAAACAAAAAAAACTGAAAACGAAACTCTCTAATTGTTGTTTTAATGAGAAAATAAATATTTGAAACGTCTGGAAAGTCCCTTCTCCATGGGAAGAAAAGTGAGTGGCACAGTACCAGTAATGGAAACATGAGACAACTCATGTTTGGGGTTTGCTTCTTACTCATAATTTTGAATACCATCACAAATAAAGATTGGTATCAAAATTTCCAGCAAGGCTAACTTTTCCCAAAACCCGGGAATGTTGATGTGAATTTTCTCGTTTGATAGCACAATGCGTCACAAAACAAAACAAATACTACAATATCAAAAGCCGCAGGGGCCATTCTCAAGAAGAGAGGAGAAACATGAAAAAGTCAACATACTGACTTTTCAGATGACTAGGAAAACAGGAAGGGGTCACCGGAGTTCAGGGCTTTGAGATGGATTAAAAAAGATAAAACCGTTAAGATGAAGAATTATCGGTCAAAACTGTAAAGGAACAGGCAAAATCAAACTTTTAATTTTCTTTTCGAAACTGCAAAAGGAGCTTTAATTCAAGTTAGGGAGCGGTATTTATCATATCGCTGATCATCTAAATACATTTTTTAGAAGGTTTTGATTCAGTGTTGTCACAATAAAGTCCAATTACTGATGCTGAAAATCCCTAAAACTCTCCGTATTGTCGGAGATTATAATTTTTTACTATTTTTCTAAACTTTGTGTTTACATTTGTGTTCGTGTGACTATCATTGCTGTTCCATGCAATCACAGCCATACGGTTACTAAAACAACAGTAATAAACAGTTTGTATCATCGCTTTTTATCGACGATAATACCGTGATAAAACTTAAAGTCCATATTTCCAATAGAGTTCCCTGAATGCCTCCTAAGCCTCGTACTCCATCACACACCATCTCCTTGAAGGCGTTCTCTATCGCTCCGATCACCAGGCTCTCGTGTTGGACCCTCTTCTCCATGTAGAAGCGTGGCGGAGGCGGGGTGCTGCTCGGCGAGCTCGGGGCGCCGGCGGCCCCCCGCAGCGAGGCGGCCCGCGTCAGGACGCGGTGCGGCCCCGGGGGGTTTCCCTGCAGGTAGGGGCTGCTGTCGGGCTCCTCGCCCAGCACGGTGGGGGGCGGCGAGTGGAAGTTGCGCAGGATCTTGATGACGGCTTGAAGCTGGCAGGCGATGTGGTGCTGCAGCAGGCGGGAGGCGACGACCGCCGCGCCTGAGCCGGCGTGACCGTCGAACAAAGCCCAGTAGTGGAAAACCAGCCCTTCGCTCTCCTGCAGATGAAACATGGACATGTAAAACATTTTTTGTGGTGGAAGCCTAAAAAAATAACTCACCATTCCTATAATGACATAATGACAGTGGAGAAACTGAGAACATGAAAGGCCAGGCACTTATCGTATTGTATCGTTTACATTTCATAGGAATTTTGAATTATTGTTGCCACAAGAATTTCCAATTAACTATGTTTCAAACTCCACTAAACTGTCCCTATTGTGGCTAGCTTTGCTATTTTCCCTGCTGTTTGTTCAATGAGAGCATCAATAAACACCAATACATTTTAAAACAAAGGTATCTTATGGTTATATCTAAATATTACAGCCTACGTTTCAAGCCAGCTACAAACTTTTCCATGATGAAGGAGCTGGCAGAGAAAATGTAACAAGATCATGTGCAAAACTCAGAGAATAACACCAAAACTCTCGCAAAAGGGTGATGAAAAGGGCGGTCCTACTAAACACTGATTTATAAACGATCATAACCGTTTTATGATTTATTATTTAAAAAATGTTGAAAACATTGCCTCATTTCTCTTCCACCTCAAAATTCAGCCCCGTTTGAAACCACAGCAAAATACAAAGCAGTCTGTGATTGTGAAGTGACAAGCAATGTTTCCAACACACTTTCAGCAGGTAAATGGGACAAAATCATACCAGTACACGTGGGCATGTATATTTATATGTATTAATATTTTGATTATAAGATTATACATTCGTGCAAAAGAAAAAGAGCAGCATAAATCATCAGCTGGATCCATTTCCTCCAACAATGACTCTGAAGCAGCAAGTTTTGCTGTAGATGTTGGAAGGAATGCAATGATGTGCATTGCACCTTTACGCAGAATTCCTCTCGCCAAATCTCCCTATAAGGTCATCGTTAGCAGCATTGGAGGAGGTTGTAAATGATGACTAACGCTGGCTGGCTGGCTGTGCATGGAGACCTGCCATGACTCATGCATTCCAGCATTGGGGGAGCCGGTGTGGTCAAACCTCCATGTAGGAGCCGTCATCATTTCTGCTCAGCGTTATCGGGCCGTCACAGAATGGAGGCCCGTTTATTTTTCTGTCTGTGATTTCAGGGGTGAAGCAGGGCATAGATGTTAGTGTTTCATCTCTGTTTGGATGAATCCTTGACTCCCACCTCTCTGTTATTCCTATTACAAAGCACAAAGTGGGATTCGGGAAAAGCCACTAATTCGTCACAGTTCGGTTGACCGAATATCTGGAGAAAGTCAACGAACTCAGGCGCCTGCATTCCAACTCTGTTAGACTGGTTAAATGATATCTAAGCTTTTAAGCGTTATGACTAAAATATGATGATTAATTTATGTGATAAAAACATTTTTTTTAGAATATCAGACTTTACTGTATTGTTGCACTTTGCTCGATTTTCAAAAACTGCAACTATGTTCGTGTCATCTGACTCGCGCTGCGCACTTTTACTCCCTACAGCAGATGTCTGTGAGTGAGGGATTTACAGTACTCTGTCAACTTCTTCTGTAGGTATTGGAACTGCACTGGAATGAGTTAAGAACTGGATTATCAACAAGTCACATCAAAACAGAGAGTAAACACGCTAACGTTAGCCTAGCATTTTAGCAAGACATCGTTAGCAGGAGGAAGAGTTCATTGAACATCTTGCGTTGAGACAGATAGGTGGCATTTTAGGTGATTTATCGCCGGAAGCAAGTACAACTTTTTATAAGGCACTTTTCACAGACAATGTCACAATGCACTGTGCAACACTAATCAAAGTTATACAAAGTATTTGGTTAAAAGCTGACCCACATAATCAGGAGGATACAACAGAGATATAACAGGACATCATCGGCGTTGATGTGATAAGAAATGTCACAGTAAGATTGAATAATTCTAGCAGGTTGAGGAATATTGAAAAAAAATAGGCCAATACCCTGCCTGCCTAGGTGGGCCCAATATGGGGGAAAGGTAGGCAGACATATGGGTCCCATATGGGTTTGTCCGCGGGTTCCACGGTGGCCCCACATGGGTTTGCCCATTTAGGGGCCATGTAGGGCCACAGCCTACATGGGCCTACATGTAGGCTGTGGCCTACATGTAGGCTGTGGCCCCATGTAGGGCCACAGCCTACATGGCTGTAGGCTTTGGCCCTACATGGCCCCTAAATGGGCAAACCCATGTGGGGCCACCGTGGAACCCGCGGACAAACCCATATGGGAGAGGAGCAGAGCAATACAGTATCTTAGAGCAATGAAAATATTAAAGTCAATCATGACGAAATCAGTGTAACTTCAAGACACTTTTGAGAATTTAAGTGATAGTTATTTAAGGCACTATCACTTAGTGCCTTAAGTGACACTAAGGCACTTAAGGCCTTAGTGCCTTAAGATTTGGTAATCTTTAAGATACCAAAGAAATATCTCAACCACCTTTGAAATACTCGCTAACTCAGTCATTCTGCTTACAGATCTGTTTGAGGCCACATTAAAGGTGCATTTCATGCATCACTAGATGCTTTTTCAATCAATAACGTGGCGTCATGTTAAGTGCCTATAATAATAAACAAGGGAAGCACATTACAGTGGTATCCGTCTGTCTTTTTTGAAAGAGAACTACATGTTTGTTTGCCTCCATGTTCCTACCTCGCCCATCATGTGTTCCACGCGGAGCCCCAGGGCCTCGCCGTTGGGGAGCGAGTTGCGTCTCTTGGCCGTCGGGGTCTTGCTGGGCGTGGAAGGGGGACAGTAGCTCATCGGCCTCCTTCTGGCCACCACCACCTCGCAGCAGGCCTGGTCCTCGTTCAGCGCACTCTTACCAGCATTGATCACCCTGGGAAAAAAAAAAGAAAAAGGGGCATAATGTAGAGAGCTCAGGCAATGTTTAACTGCAGGCTTGCCCTCCGCTCTTTCAGAAGGAGTTTGGAACATATTTTAGTATCCGAGTTTGCGTCACAGATCCCATGTGGCTGTTTTATGGCTCACTGCAAGGTCACAGCAATTACAACCTCTACATTTATCAGAAGCAGCTGCCTCTGCAATTTTAGGTTTACAATTTAGATCAAACTGTTAGTTTGTGCTGCTGCTTTGACTAGATAGCTCTTCCTCATCGCTACTGCTGAAGCGGCATGCAGCATTTTCACCTGCAGAACTGGAAATATTTTTGTGTCTTGCTTAGATTAATATGTCTAATATTTGGAACTACATGGCTGTGACTGACCCTGTCGCAATAACCAATTAATTGCATGATCAATTAAAACGAGGTCAATTTCCATCCTGATGATAATAGTTTTTGAAGGGCAATTTTGTTTACAGACTTCCTAATCAATTTCATTTATGGTTTCACTTGTTTCCTTTTGTTTATTGTGTTTGGTCTTTTTTTTTAAGTTATTTAAAATATCTTCCAGTTTCTGTGTTAAATGTTCTGTACAAAATGTCGTGTTTATTCATCTTTCAGAGGGCAAACTTGGATTATTGTGCTATTATTAACATATTACTTGAAAATGGTCTTAAAACAACAATGTTACAGTTTATCGCAATAATTTCTGGGACAATTTATCATTCAGCAAAATTTGTCACTGTGACTGTGGCCAGCCTCCTGATTCTCTGCGTCAGCTTTTAACCAAATACTTTGTATAGCTTTGATGCACTTTGTTTAACTAGATATGATTTGCTTATCTGATAATGTGTCTTATGGGAGGAAATGAAGCACATTGTGTGCCTGACTGTAACAAAGTAGTTAAATATACCTTAGCCTAATTATTCAGAACATAGATTAGAGTGCGCTCCTGTTGGAGGCACTTCAGGCACTTAGCTTGCTGATATTAGCGAATCTTCATCGGCACAGACAGAGCATCTGCATAGTGTAACATGACACTAAATATTATTATCAGTTAACTTATCACAATGAGTTATATGCCGTACTTTACACTAAGTACACTTATTCTCTCTAGGATTATAATACACTGGGGGAAACCCTGCAAGAAAAAAGGCAAAAGGCTATACAACAAGACTTAAAAAATAGATATTTAGTTGAAAGGTACAGAAAACACAGTGTTCTAAGTGTTACATTGCAAAGCATTCGTATAATACACCCTGCATAAATTTGTTTTAGCTACCCTCTCAATGTCAGTAAACTTGTTGAAAAGCTGCTCAAAATAGCCAGTTTAATTAGGCTCAAGAAAACAGTGGGGGAAAAAAAGAAAAAAGGAAGGCCGGTGTGTCTGACAGACGTATCTGGAGGCTGTTGTCAAAGTGTGATTGTGTGAAATTGGCAGGTCTATTAATAGACTCAAACTCTGGGCTGTTTTCTGCTCGGCGGCGTCCATGTCTGCTCCTCAACCCCAAAGATCTGTTAGCTTTAGATAGAAGCAGAGATAACAGGAGGCAGAGGGCATGGAAACCAGTATCACTTGATCAATTTAATTCTAATGTTTAACAGTTTTTCATTCATAGATTGTCTATTTTTACATAATTAAAGGAGTTGTAACTTGGTGGTGAAGATGGTTGCTGTGTTTCTTGTGTGGCTGTATAAAAAATGTTGCCAACAATTTAAAGTGGGCGTGGCTACTGCTCTGAAGTACGTTCTGTTGATAAAACCGGTGGCCTATCGCTCTTATGGATGCAATATTTAGCGCCATAATAAAATCCCCCTTGGTGTTTTGTCAAACTTTTTAATTATCGTAGTAATTTGTTGTGTCACTAAGAGCATAAAAGCCTTCAGATATGAGAAACTGAACACAATGACTGAGCTTGGCTGTCAAAACAATATTAGACCAGGCCTTCTGACGTCTATCCTATTATCTGCTGCACACACTTTGCACGTCTAAACACTGAGTGCAAAAAGGCTCTTCCGATATAGGCCGATGGTATATTATCTCAGCTGTGTTGCACTGAGGCTGCAGCTGGTGCCACTGTTTGCATTGGAAGTGCTCCCACAACTCATTTTGTCCCGACTCCAATATTTGCAGAAAGAATGACTTCAATGCTCTGCCAATCAAATTTTTGCTTTCCTCCCATTTTCTGCACTATTGCAAGGCTTGTCATGCCTTTTTTATTTTTTTTAAGCATAAGATTCTGTGCCAGAGATCAGACGCTAAGATGTAAAAGTTATTTTAGGCAAACCAGTAGGCTGTAAGATACAAAGACAATAAATACAGACCTTAAGAAATTAGGACATGCAGCCAAAGTATGTATGATTTTTCTAAAGTAGTAGCAGAACTAAACAATAACAGATTAGAAAAAAAATATTTTAATATATGCTTCTGGGAAATAATAATAATAAAAAAAACTTAATTAGCGAAACAATCTTAATTTATGCTGTTTAAACTGGTTAAATTCACTTCAATAAAAAATAGGGTTCCACTGCACCAGGTAGTGAGCAATATACCATTTCCCTCAAATGTACACTGTGTGATAGCATTATAAAGCAGCTTCTCCTGAGAACAACTTAAGTTCAGATGAGACGCCGACTTTTAACTTCTTTGTATTTTATTATCAGCTGGAAGGATATTAAAGTCCAATCTGCCTCCAGAGGCAAAATGGCTCCTGTAATGAGAAGAAAAGGGGGTTTAATTACAGATAAACGCTGATCTGAGCTGAACTCATTACCTCCAACAATCCGCTCGAGACCCTCCGTCTCTTTTCTGAGGATTACGGCGAGATGAGCGTGCGATAAATTAAAAGAACAGACGGAAAGAGGCTTGGTATTTTAGCATCCAGTAATTTAGGTTATTTCTCAAAGTTAGCAAACTTTGTTGCGTCATGCTACAAAAACATTCTTTTAATAGTTGGAAATTACTCCCCATGCTGTTAAAAGTAAGTGCAGGTCAGGAGTTGGCAGCGTTTTGTCCCCCAAGACTCGAGGTGTTCAAGAACAGTGTTTAAGACAAATTTGAAATTAGAGTTCACTACAATAATTTTCTACCTCTTTTTCCTTTTCTTTTTTAAACCACATGGCCATAGTTAATACATAAATTACTTATAACACCAAAATTTATGAAGAAATGCCTTCAAAAATTTGGATTTTTTTTTATAGCTTCCTGCTGCAGGTAGTTGCAAACCGTTGGAGAAGTTGGACAGGCCAAAACAAAATGAGCATAGCAGTGAACTAGAAGAAAAGTGACAAATGTTAAATAAATGTGAATTCATTTGTGGTGTGCACACAAAATAGAGTGGAGAAATTCTCACGTCTGTGGAGGTTTGCAGCTCCTCCAGAGTTACCATGGGGCAACTGATTAATAGTAGATTTTCTTCCTGGATTGCTCTAAATGTAGCTCAGTTTAACTTCTCGTTAAGCCTGACGTGTTTAAGTGTCTCTGCTTACAAGCATCATCACGTTTGGAAAGTTATATTTTGGCCTCATCTTCTTTATACGTTTTCATATTTCTCATGCTTTCGTCTTGCCGCTGCTCCATGTAGGCTGTATTTATACATAGCTATCGTATCGTGATATCGTATCGCATCACTGTTTACATTTTCGGATATTACTGAACAGATTTAGGGATATATCCGAACAAAAGGAATTGAATAATGATGCTCACACACACCACACCTAACAGATGTTTCATTTGTGCAAAAAAAAAAAAATTGCATCTCACTTTTGTAAATGCACAAATCATGCTGGTAGAAAATGTTTTTTTTGTTTTGTTTTGTTTAAATCAATGCAGGTCAGACTCAGAGTTTAGGTAGGTACCAGCAGTCTTTTTTATTTTTTAGTACTCTGAATGTTAAGTGCATTACCAGAAAAAAGCAGAGAAAATTTCAGCCCATTATGTCTAATGGTTTTTGAGATTTTGGGTGGTATGTGTATCTTGGAACAAACCCACCGTTGAAAAGAAAAAGAGTGGGTTTTTGAAAGCCGATCACTCAAAAATTAAATCAATTTGAAAATCATCTGTAATGACATTCTTTAAATATAAAGAAATAAATTTGCAAAACAAATGCACACTATAAATAGCTTACTTTTAAAGTTAATGGGTTTTTTTTTTAAATATGTCATTTTGAAAAATAAAGGCATGGCATTTTTGGGATACCATATTAAAAAATATATGATGAAACCAAGACCCAAATTTTCCCCAGCCTGCTTTGTGGTCTTAACAAGCTATTTTTTTTGTAGGAGTCTGGGACTGTCAAAGACTTATTAGGCTGCAAAAACGCTTCCAAAGCCAAAAACAATAAAAAATAGACAAAACAGAGTATTTTTTGACCACTCCCTAAATTTGTATTTTTAATAGGATATCAATAAAACCATAACTACCAGAATATTCAATAATTTTACTGAACTCCAATCCATAACAGCACAGATTTCTGGGGAATGTAGGCAAAGGAAAGGTTTTAGACCCCAACCTCTATGCAAGGTTGGTGACATCAACTACCTCACTCACTCTTTAGTTACCATAGCAGCAGCCTGCTGAGTAAGGCAGCAGTAATAACTGCTTAAAAATAAAATCAACGTTGTCGAGTGAAAACTGGATTAAACAGAAAGGGTCACGTCACAAGTGTGGCAGTATATCGGACATTTAAAATAACAAATAATCATTATTGATATCAGCTGATATGAAAGGGTTATGTCCCGATTGTACGTTTTTTTTTCCAGCCATATCGTCCAACCCAAGCTGATGTTTGCAGGAGAAAAAGTATCACCAATCTGCACGTGAAAACCCAGCATGTGCTGGGAGGACTGTGGTCCTCTGGATGCGCTGCACCCAGCCAAAGGCTGCGTGGATGTGGGTCACAACAGGTGCAGCCCGACCCCCTGCAGCTTTACGTTCCGCTGGGGCCTGCAACAGCCAGTGCACAGCTTATATATTCAGTAAGGTTCGCACAAAGAACATGGGAGCTGCTTTGAGGTCAGCTGCATTACTTACTCAGCGTATCCGGTGGCCCACGGTAATCTCCTGGTTTCCTTCAGGATGAGGATGGGCCGGGCTATGTGGTCCGCGGAGCACTCGATTTCATCCGCGGAGAGTCCCAGGAACTCAGGTCTCATATAGGGGAATTTCAGCGGCAAATCCGAAGACGAATTCCCGCCCCCACCGGAGCTTCCCCCGGTCATAATCCCACCCATGAACCCGGCCACGGCCGTCTTGACCCGGGTGAGCATGTTGTTGTTGCCGCCGCCTCCGCCGCCGCCACCACCGCCGCGCCGCGACGCTGTGTCCGTTGGCCGGTGCGCGGCGCCGCGGCTCCCTTTCCCCGGATTCCCCCCCAGCTCGTCCGCGCTGCTGCTCGACGACAGGGCTCGAAAGGAAGCGGTGGCTGCTGGGGGGATGAGGATGAGGAGGAGATGGAGGAAGCTCCTGTGGTAGTTAAGGTCTCATGGATTCAGAGCAGACAACAATCAGCCGCGACCGGGCAGGGCGATGATAATAATAACAACAATAACAGCGACGCTGCTGCTGGTACACCTCCATAAAGAGTCATTGATAACGGCGTGAACGCGGAAATACGGTGGGAGATTAAGGGGTCACGTGACGCATCCATGGATGAGCACTGCAAAAAAAAACAAACAAAAAAAAAAACAGCCTGCACCACGTATAAGCTGCAAGCGTTAGTGTTTTACTGCAAAAAACGCACTATATAACCCACATTTTCACTTAAAATTTGATTTAATTATTCATAACAAATCAAAAAAAGCCCTCTTCAGTAGTTGACAATGATAATAAATCCTATTATTTATATTGCCCCCACAGCAGTGGGATTTAAAACCGTGTTGAATCCTCTCTGTGGTTAGGCTTACAGGCTATTTTTTGCAGTGCAGAGTGAGCAGCTTAAGGAACTTGACAGAAGGTCAAAGGTAAATCAATCCCTAACAGCAAGAGATCTGAGACCAGTGGCATTGTAAATATCTGAATTTCTGAGCATTATGGAAACTGCTGCCACTCATTGAGGGATCAAAAAAATGGTGGCTGTTCACATCACAAATACATGTAAAAAGGATTTTATAAGGCCAGTATAAAACAGCGTGCAATTGTTAATTGATGTAACAGAGGTTATAGCAATATTTTCCTTTAGAATCCGTTTTTAAATATGACTTTTAGATATTTATGGCAGTTTTGATGTCATTGTGGACATTTGTGTACAAGACATTGCACTGATTTAGTTAGGTTAAAAATTACTGGTGTATATTTATATATATAAAAATGGCGAGAATTAAAATGCTGCCAGTAATTATCAGATTTTTTTTTCAGCATAAAGCAGGCAAGCTTTATGCAAGCTTGTTGAAAGGCCAACAAACAGATGAGATACAAGTTTTTTTTTCTAGTTCTTGGGTGTCCCTCCTCTTTCTATTGCTGCCCTGGGCAACTGCCCATATAGCCCATATCAAGAACTGCTACCAGTGATTATTAAAGTCAGCTCACACTTTGGGTGGATCCAAGCGACTTAAAAGCAAACATCCATTTGTCAGAGTGATCAGAGCCACAATTTAAAACATCTACTTAGAAAATTTCTGTTCGAAATTTAGACTTAGGATCTTATATACCATAAATACTGAGAAAAGTGAGCATTTTAATTCAATTCCCACGTTAGCTTTGGGAATAGAAGCAAAAGACAACCCATTAAGATCCGCCATATGAACTCCTTCATTAATAGTTAACTTTAATGCAACTGCTTTCAAAAATATTATTTTTTAAGTCAATATATAACAATTGTAAAAGATTCAGTGGTTTAAAAAAAACTTTACATTTATGAATACTGTATATTCCATACATCTGTACTTTTTGGAGCGGCACACTTCCTGCAGTACTCTCTAATTCCTCTAGAGTGCGCTCTAATATCAAGGTGCAGAGGGAAATTCAATATTAACCTCTCAGGGACAGTCTAGGGGTTTTCACAGCGTGTTTCCAGTAAATGTTTCAAACTCTTCTGTGAAACTCTACAATAAAGAGGTCTTCCCTCAATGCTCGAGTCCATCTGCTATGTTGTCTCAACAATTTATCTCAAGTATCTGGCTCTGAGCCAAATGAATAATGTTTTATTTTTGTTTTGTTTTGTGCATTTAATCACGTTTGGAAAAATTGCCAGGCGTGTCTTGCGTCGTGGGCTTTCATCTTCCGCGACTTTGACATCATTGTCTTCACCGCTATTATTAGAGCCACATGTGACTGGATTGCGTCTTTTGCCACTGTATTCCCCCCCCCCCCACCCTCTGGGTACTGAAATGGCGAGAATGTAGCAATCTAGAAAATCAGTTCTAGTGAAGCTTGTGGATGAAGCTTGGTATCCGTTTATGATCTTAGACTAAATTTAAAACACAAACAACAGCTTCTGCTCCCACAGGTATTCATCATGACCCATATTTTTTTTCATAAACTGATAACATGACTGTTTAATAATCTTTGATTACCCTGAACGTGTTGGGTGCAATTTGTCACATTTCCTTCCCAGCATAGGGTTCGTGTGAGGAGCATGTCATCTTGTGGTGGTTCCCTTCTCAAGTGGCGGGAACATACAGGTTTTGTGAGAGTTGGGACATGATGTATTGTACCCATCAAGGAAGGAGGACACCAGGAAGTTCTTTAAAGACACAAGCATTTTAAAAAGAGTTATAGCGAGGACATAAAGCGGCACGACACCCAATATGGTAATTTAAAGATTTATTCAAGGGGAAATGTTGGATATTTTTGGCGATAATCAAAAATTACATGTGATTACTGTTTGAGTTGATGACATCATAATAACAGGTGAAAACAGAGGACCAGATAGGTATGCAAAAGTGAATACGATGGCCACTTTCATGTACTTTCACATTTCAAGGAGGTATTTGATGAATCAATAATAAGATATCATTGGAAATATGGGTATAATAAAGTTTTTTTTTTTTTAGGGAGATCAAATTTTGTCTCTGTCAAGTAAAATACATTGAAAGGTTGATCACAAAATGCTGCATTTTAGGTGACAATCTATCTAAAGCAACTTTGATTGAACAGAATAGTCTGGCTTGTAGTTTTACTAATTATTTAGAGGATAATTAACTTAACAAACTCTTCAAAGGAAGCCTATGAAGTATTTTGAGCATTTTTTCCCCCATATCTCAGATAGTAGAAGAGCGCTGAGTGGAAGAGGAAGCGGATTTCTTGACATTTGTAGGGAGTTGCCAGAGGTATCAGCTCTGACTAAAAGATGAAAAGGTTACATGTGGTTTGAAAAATGATCTTTTGACGGAAACCAAAACAACAAATTCTGAGATGTCTTTTCAACCTTAAGGCGGTATACAGGAAATATGTCTCTGTACAGCGACTGCTTTGCCCTGTGGATTTGGGAAAGGTTTGCAATAATGAGCTCATCATATCTGAACATTTTGTCTCTGACAAGAATTTTATTGCATTCTTTTCTGTGAGGTAATTTTATATATATATATATATATATATATATATATATATATATATATATATGAAAGAAAGTTATTGTTCTAAACATAAATATTAAAATGACTTCTAACAGTAAGCTAATGAAGGAGGGTTGAAAATTAAAGCCCTCATAAAGCTTACTATAGTAGTAATATTTAGGACAAATCAAATTATTTGTAAGTTTATTCAAACAGTGTCAAAGAAATTGACTTCATACTAACAAAGTCATCAACACAGCCAAATATTAACATGATTATGTTTTTTTTTTCAGTTATTAAACACAACTGGGTTACAATATTTGACCCAGTGTTTGTTTAAAACTGTCAAATTACCTTGTATTTGAAGTAATAAACCATAATTTTTTCTGGTTTAATGTAGCTAACACTAGGTCATGCTAACTATTCTACAAATAAAAGGCGATTTCTCTACTTTTAATTTCACTCTGGGATGAAAAAAGCCTTTTTGAATTCGTAAACAAATTTGTCTTTTGTTGTGCGTTAACATTATCCACACAGTCGGGTGACGTTAACTTTGCTATATTTAATTTTACAATTTTACCAAAAACCAAGTTCCAACTTTTGACAGCAAATTTAATAAAAACTTGCTCGCATCTATCCTGACAACAAAAACCCAGGTTTTGGATTAAAATAAACAAAAAATAAATAACCCAGCTGTTATTTTACGGCAAATTATTCCCCCTTTGGTCAAAGTGTGAATGCTAACTATAGCTAGCACTTGTACTTACCAACATCTTAGCAGAAAAAAATGCTATCGTCTCTCGTAGCGATGAAAAACATTTTGTTAAGTGTTAGCTAAAGTTCCTAGCAAAACCATGTGACATTAGGATCTTTACAGAGCATCATTTTACTCTTTCCCCAAGGCTGGGTGTGATTTCTGATCCAATATGTGGGTCAAACTAGCTAATCCAGTTTCTAGAAACATTAACTCAAAGTTTGGGTAAAAGCAACAACATATTTGTATAGGCTAATGTGAGGTACAACTTGTCGTCTTTCTTAAAACTGACAACTTTCTCCAGATAGCCAATAGCCCAATTTCTAAGTTACAACACGTTTACAACTTAATGATTAAAGGTTAGAGGATGTAGTGCAGTGGAGCCCCGCCTCCTAGCTGTCACTTCTTCATGTGCTCCACGCTCCAAGCACATATATCATCCCCATCCTGCTGCCTCGCAGACCTCGCAGACCTCGTCCAGCTGTGGATCCCGGCTTGACAGCACATTTAAAAAGGAGCAGCAGCTCAAGTCTAAAAAAATATGATTCACTGGCTTGCCTTGCTGATTTCCTGCTGCTGCTTGAATGGAACTGCAGCAGAAATCCCTCAACTGGAGAGAATCAAGAAATGTCAGACCAGGTGTTCGAAGGTAAAGCTTTACTCTCAATTACTCTCATGCTGTCACCTGTTAACTAGCTACAATTAAGCCTCCATCTGCTGTTAAGTTCACTTAGACAAAAAAAAAAAAAAAAAGATTTCCAGTAACACTAGTCCTTGTGCAGTTTCTCTTCCCTCTGTGGTCACACAGATTCTGCTTGCTTTGGTTTTCGGGGATGTTTGCTTTGCTTTCAGTAAATCTTTCTGTGGAGCTTGTAAGGCAAGCATTGAGATAAGCACCATGAAGTAGGGATAACCTTTCGGTGCTCTTTGAAGCGTCAGTAAGGAAAAGGATAATAATGAAAGAGCATAGCTGGAAGGTAACTTCCCCAAAACTGAGTCACTTGGGATAACAAAGACATTCTCATGAGGCAGCATACTGGAAAACATACCCAGGTGTTTAGGGAAATTGAGTTTGCATACGAGTAGATAAAAAAAAAAAACAGAAAGAAGAAAAGAAACAGCTGACCTGTGACCGTGTTTACTTCTTTTCATTCTCCCTTCACTGGTGCTGCTTCACCTCGCTCTTAAACAACTTTTTTATGAGCCGTGCAAGTTTCATCTTGTGAAATGCATCCTTAAGGTTCGGCTTCTGACATCACTGTTTATGTCTCCTTAAAATATGCAGCTAACAGCTCCCAGAAAATGTTCAAACATTGTAACGTTTTATAACTCCATTCAGGCTTAGTTTGACATCATCCTCACACCATCCAAACTGTGTGACTTGCTTCACGTAAACCGCTGCTGGACATTTGAATGAAGTTTAGACAGGTGCTGGTTGCTTAGTGTCTCTGGTTTTCATTGTAGAAAGGACCTGCCTTTGACCCGTTGTTGTTTTGTAATTTTGTAGTTTTCATGGAAAATGAATGAAAAGAATCTGGGTTTTGTTCATGACTGACTTTTTTGGGTACTGACAATGCATGTGCTCATACATTACCAGGGAGATTTTTGGTACACAAGTCCTGGTCTTTTTGCAACTTTTTCTGGTTTTGTAACAGTTTTTTCCCCCCTGATAATACATTGATTCACCTTTTACTTGGCATTTTTGTGGTAATTTAGAGCTGACTGCTTTTCCATGACAATTCTTTCCTGCCAGAAGTGACGCTCTTTGTGTACTCACTTTGATTTAAAGTACATAATCTGCACTTGGTTTACCATAGGAACATGGTGTTATATGACTTAAATAAATAAAAATCTACTAATCTGTCGTAGGTTGTAATCTATCACATTTTATGGGACTACACTCACCCAGCGAGAGACCAGAAGTTAAACAAATTAATCTGGATAATTCGGATAGTTAGAAACTGTTATCTAACGGTTTAGGTACATGCAAAAAAAAAAAAAGAAAAAAAGTTTCCGGTCCAAAATAGGAGACCAAAACTGGGAATATCTACGTATTAAATGAAGACATAAATCATCAATGGGGTGACTTCACCGAGAGTCAGACTTTCCGGAGGTCAAAAGGATTCATGTCTCTGTTGATTTAGCCAACATGTCACAGTCGAGATGATCACATTTTGCTCCAGTCAATAAACACAGTCTGTCAAAACATCTGGGGTCAAAGGAAACATTTCCAGTCCGGTCACTTCCCTGGGATGACACACTCAGAAGGTGTTTTTCTTATTTATTGTAGGTCCTCAGTACTACTCACTGATTTAGATTTAGTAATCCAAAGCCGTCTGTCACAGAAAAGGAACAAAAGCAGAAGGAGGGACCTGGCCACAATTAGAAACGTTAAAAATAAGCATCTTCCTGGTTAGGCTTGACAAAGGCTGTGCACGTGCCCACACCTTAAAGGAATGAGGATGCGGAAAAACCCTTCTTCAGGTCACTGTTTTTGTTTGCTTGGTTACAGTTCAGGTTTGGAAAACAGCAGCACTACTTCTCACAATAATAATGATAAAGTATCTCACCTCACCGCCTCCCTTTCTTTTCTTTTTTCTTTTTCCTCCGCAGGGACTCAGCTGCAAGACCCGTCTAGACTGTGAGTGTGAATGACACGTGCACAAGCATCGTAAACGTTTCTGCACAACAGCTCCAGAGATGTCAACTTGTTGAGCAACAAGACTGTGGTTCTTTTGTACTCTGATTCATCCAGAGTACAAAATCATCTGAGTCATTTTACTAGGATTGTAACATCACACAAGTTTCACTCATATCTCCTCCAAAGCATCCGACTCAGCGTCCCTGTCTCTGGTTTCAACAGATTGGTTCATGCCTGCGTGTCACGACCTGGCTGAGGGCCTCAACATCACCAGCCTGATCCATAACGTGAACATCTCCACGGTCATGAAGTGTGAGGACAAGCAAAAGTGCAGACTCCACCTGAAGATCCACACGGTTGTGCAGCTTATGGGTAGGTAGCGCCGACGACTTTATGTTGACATTAACCTTGCCTATACGGCGGTGCCAAGCTTTAACGTGGCTTCAAAGTAAAATGGACACAACGCCTCTCAGAGGTGTTTATGTCCTTTGACCTTTTCAGCATTCTGCAACGTTGACGCAACTTATGTGGTTAGACAAACCGTGTTGTTTAGTGCGTTTTGGGACAACCGACACTTTTAAGTGGGAAGCAACAGAGAAAAGAAGCAGCAGAGTCATTTCTTTCATCCACAACAAACCCCAAACATACAGCCAGACCTATAAAGCATAGTCGTGTGTGGTGGAGGGATCAGACTAGAATGCACACAGGGAAGCGGGAGTCTCGCAATAACCAAATTAAGGTTTTCTCTCAACGAGAGAGAAACCAGATGAACACAGCAACATCGGGGAAAGTCCTTATCAGAACCGATAGCTGGAGGAGAGATGAGGAGATAGAAAACAGCTGCGCTGAGAGACAGGCCGAGCGACGGAACACAGAAATAGACCTAAACGAAGGGAAAACGATGAAATTAACAAATGGTAACGCGAAGAAACTATAGCTGCAACGTCGTCGTCCGATCTTTGTTTCCGTCCCCCCCCCCGAAATGTAGGTCGGTATGTAGGTCAAGCAAAAGGCGAAAGATAAGTAATAAAAAGAAAACAGGAAATGCTAATTTAATGCAATTCCCGGTAAGCCATAAAAGTTAAATATGGTGAAAACTCTTGGCTTTATTTGCTCTATCCCGAGTGTCAGTTCCTGCTGACATTTAACCAAATCCAGGAGGCCATAAATGGCCTGACGTAAAGTCGTCTTAGGTAACATTTGCCACAAATTTGACCTCCATGTAGGAGACAAATTACGGCTGGGTCTCAGAGAACCGCTAACAAACAAGCTAGTTTTTATTAAGCCTTTTGGGCTACGTTTAAATTCCCAGTCAGGTCAGCGTGCCTGCCATACTCCATTGACATGTTGCAGGTCTGTAATGGAAAGACTACTGGCAAAAACCACAAAGAAGGTGAGGGGAAGTAGTCTTCTTTGTGGTTTGTAGTTTGTTTCTTTTTTTCCAGACAATATACAGCATTCCATCATCCCCCATAAAACGCTGCATAAGCTCCCAAGTAAAGCGGGCCTTGTCGCTCCAACGCCTGAATAAGACGCCAAAGTCTGATTCATCAGCTAGCATAATTCAGCCATGCTAGCGCCATGTTCTTGAATTTCTTTATGGC